TTTACAATTCAAACAATGAAATCGTATCTACTTCAAATGAAAATCCCAATAATGTTGAGGAACAAATGAAAGTAGAGAAGAATGGGAGATGAGTGTGCCTACAACCAAGTTTTTATTTGTTATTTTATTAAAATGAAGTTGTTTATCAGATGGCATCACAACGAAAATTATAACAAAAACAAAGGGTATTTTAAGTGTTTTATAAAAATAGTTGCCTCAGTTACACTATACAGTTTATTTACAAGTAGGAGTGAGTTAAGTGAAACTCGAAATAGTTGTGGGTGGTTGTGTAACTAACCCTAAGTCCAAGTGGGTCGTGTGTAATTTCCCCATACTTTTAATGCTTTCATGCTTAAAGAAGAGTGAGGTAATGGGGATATGACCAAGAGGCGGATAAGCCACATGTCAACAAATTGGGTAAAAGGCCCCAAACACGCTATTCCAATTAAGTCACCTCAATTGTCCACTTGTCTTGATTCTTTTTTAATTTCCACGCTAGTAGGAGGCGCGTGAATTAAAGTTATTATATTATTATTATTTTTTCTTAATTCTTTTTTGGATCGTTTTCTTTAATTTATTCCCAAGGCAGAATGAATTATATATTCAAACATCATATTTCAAACCAAATTAAAAAATGGGTTGAATTTTGGTATTTAAAAATTTAAACACGCATATCTCACAATAAGTCCAAATACACACGTAAATTTCGAAAGGCCTTAGGTCTCGAGGGAGATTGAGATGAGTAATATTTAATAAATAAATTTAACACAAATTTATTCGATTGAGATTTGTCGGGCTTGACATGAGATATTAGAATTTTTTTCTGTCAAAATTTTTTATTTATTAAAATCAAATTAAATTAAATTTTTATTGAACTATAAAACATGTGATAAATTGTGTCACTTAACCACTTCTACATGAGAGGTCAAATGATTAAACTTTGTCAAAGGGACAATGTTCCATCGTATTCTTTGCATCAATCAATTATTTTTTATTCCTTTAAAGGGATTATCTTTTATATTTTTTTTGTGAATTCAATTTTTTATCTATAATGTGTAAATTAATTATTAATTATAATAGTTGTACATTGTTGTACTTTTTTTTGTTGTTATGTACTTAAAAAGCATATTTTATAAATATGGATTTTAAATTATTAAAAATTCAACTAAATATTCATTTGGAGCAAAAAAATATTTCATTATATTAACTATTGATTTTCTATTCGTTTGAACATGTTATCTTTTAGATTATTTTTTGGTGAATTCAATATTCTATTTGTAATGCGTAGATTAACTAGTTAATACCTGGCTTGAAGGCACAGAGTAAGAAAAAAATGATCAACAATAAACATATTTGTATTGATATTTAAAATTAAATCACAAATATAGAGAAAAGATAAAGAAATTTAAGCATCGGTTGTAGTGGGGGTGAAAGGTGGTGGACGGTAGTGGTGGAGGTAGGAGATGACGATGGTTGACAATGACCATAATGGTGGTGGTAGCCATGAGTGACAACAATTATGGTAGTAGTGACAGTCATGGGTGACGACAGTGATAGTGGTTGATATGAGTGTGGGTGACGGTGATGGTTGTTGCCCGTAGTCGTGGTGGGGCGATGATAGTGGTGGTGACGGTGGTGGGTGACGACAGATGCTTCTAGACAACAGTATAATGGGTGGTGGCGAATAACAGTGGTTGTAAGTGTGGTGGGGGTGGGTGATAGTGGTTGTTGACGACGGGAGGTAGTGAGCAACAATATGGTGGTGGTGGGTGGCGACAATAATCGTGAGATGATGGTGATAGTGGTAATAAATATAAGAATGAGACAATAATGGTAGTGAGTGGTGGCAGTGACGATAGTGGTGGCAACGGTGGTAGTAATGGTGATGGTCGTGGGACGGTGGGGGTGGAGGTGATAAGAGTGATGGGGTGGCAGTAGTAGGGATTGTGGTGGTAGGGCAGTGACGGTGACGATGACGGTGGGGTGGAGATAGTAGTTATGATTGTTATAGCAGAGGCGGTGGTGGTATTAGGGTTGCAACAACAGTGGTGGTGGTAGTGTTGATGGTAGGGCGGTGGGTGTGGTGGTAGTGGCAACGTCGACGGTGGTGGGGTGGCGACTGTGATGGTAATGATGGTGGTGGGGGTGGGGGTGGGATGGTTCCAAATATTACTTTTGTTTTGTTTAAAGTAGTTATAAGAAGTTATAAATCTTTAAAACACTTTTAAGAAGTCACCCCAAACACACTTTTAGAGGCTTATTTTTCATATTAAATTTAGGGTGTTAATATTAACTGTTGTATTAATTTTAAAATAAAATTTAAAGAGATCTTAACCGCGAAAAATAAAAATTATTTTGTTTATTTTTTTAAGATTTGAATTGGATTATACTTTATTATATAAATTAATATTTTTCGTGCCTAAAGGCACAAAGTAATAAAAAAAAATATCAATAATAAACATATTTGTATTTACACCAAAAATCAAATTTCAAAGGAAATAGAAATGAATTTAAGAATCAATTGTAGTGGGGTGCGAGTGGTGGTGGGTGGGAGTGGTGGTAGGGGCAAGCGGTGGATGTGGTGTTGAGCGGTAGTGGTGGTAGTGGGAGACGGTGATAGTTGTGATAGGTGATGACGACGGATTGTGATGGTGGCAGTCGTAAGTTGTAATAGTGATAGTCTTGGTGGGACAATGGGGGTGGTGGTGGTGGTAAGATGGTGACATCGGTGGTGGTAGTGGGGATAGTGGTGTTGGGTCACTAGTGGGGTAGTGGTGGTGGGGCGGCGACAATGATTGTAAGGTGGCGGCAGTGGTGGTGGTAGGGCGATGAGAGTGGTGGTAATTATGATGGTAGTTCTGGGGCTGATGGGTATAGTGGTCGTGGAGGTGGCAACAGTGGTAGTGGTGGTGGGGGTGACGGTGATAGTGGTGGTGGCGACGATGGAGGTGGTGGTTGTTGTGGAAGAGGTGGTGATGAGGTTGTAACAGTGGTAATGGTTGTTGGGGAAGTGATAGGGTGGCGGCAACGATGGTGATGATGGTGGTGGAGGGGCGGTAGTGGAGGGTGGCGACAGTGATGATGGTGGTGATGGTTGTTGTGGCAGAGGTGATGGTGGTGGGGTAGTTCTAAACACTACTTCTTCTTTTTTGAATTACTTATGAAAAATTATAAGTTTTAAAAACATTTTTTAAAATTACCCCAAATACATCGTTAGATGTTTATTTTCTCTATTAAATTTGAGATATTAATATTAGCAGTCCGATTAATTTTAAAATAAAATTTAAATAGATCTCAATCGTGAATAGTAAAAGTCATTTTGTTTATCTTTTGATATTTGAATTGTATTGTACTTTATTATATAGACTAATTATTGTCTGTACCCGAAGGTACAGAATAATAAAAAAAAATCAATAATAAATATATTTATATTCATACCCAAAATCGAATTACAAACATAGAGCAAATAAAATAATTTAAGCACCGGTTGTAATGGGGGTAAACGGTGGTAGTGGTGGTGGTGGAAGACGGTGATGGTTATGGTGGGTGGTGACAGCCGTGGTGATGGTGGCAGTTATAGGTGGCAATGGTGATGCTGCTAGTGAATTTTTGGCGACGATGGTGGTAGTGACAGTTATGGGTGACGACAGTAGTGGTTGTGGGCGACGCTGATGGTGGTTGGCAATGGTGGTGGTGGGGCGACGACAGTGGTGAGTTGTGGTGGTGGGCAGTGATGATGGAGGTGGTGGACGACGACAGGTACTTTTGGACGACAATATGATAAATTGTGGTAAATAGCGGTGGTGGTGGTGGTAGGGGTGGATGACAGTGGGTGACAATAGTGGTATGCAATGACAATTGGTGGTGATAAGTTTGATAGGCGTGGGGGATAGTGACTAGTGGCGATGGTGGGCAATGATGGGTGGTGGAGGATTGTGATAGTGGGCGACAATAGATGGTGGTGAGTGACAATAGATGGTGGTGAACAACAATGGTAATGGTGGTTGTTGACAGTGGACAATAGAGATAATGGTAATAAATATAAGAATTAGATAAAAATTGTGGTGGGTGGTGGCGGTGGACGACGATAATATTAATCGGTGGTGAGTAGTGATAGTGGTGGGGCAACAATGGTAGCGGGGATGGTGGGATGGCGACAATAATGGTGACGACGACGACAGTGACGATGGTGGTGGTGGGGTGGCGACAGTGGTGGTGGTGGGGCGATTAGTGTAGTGGTTGTGGTAGGTTGGCGGTAGTGGTGGTGAAAACGACAACAATGGAAGTTGTGGCAGATGTGGTGATGACATAACGACGACGACAACAGTGGTAGTGGTGATGGCGGTGGGGAGATGAGGGTGGTAATGGTAGAGCGGTTCTAAATACTAATTTATTTTTTAAAAAGTATTTATAAATAGTTATAAGTTTTACAAGTATTTTTAAAAAATTATCCCAAATACACTCTTATAAACTTATTTTTCCTATTAAATTTGAGGTGTTAATATTAGCCGTCAGATTAACTTTAAAGTAAAATTTAAAAGATCTCAATCGCGAAAAATAAAAATTATTTTATTTATCATTTGAGATTTGAATTATATTGTAGTTTATCATATAGATTATTAATTATAATACTTATACATGAATTTATTTATTTTTGGTATTATGTACTTAAAAAATATATTTTATAAATTTTAGATTATTAAAAATTCAAGTAAATATTCCTATGGACTAAAAAAATAAATATTCTCCGAGCGCGTGGGATTGACTTTTTCAAGATTTATTTTGTTTTATATTATTTTTCCAAGCAATTAACTTCAGTATTATCCACGGAGCGCCCTTTTTTCTGTTTGAGTTTTGTTTGTTTCTCTCTCTCTCTCTCTCCAATCTCTGAATCGTAGTAAAGCAAACTGTGATCACTCGTCACACAGTACACACAGTAACGTAAAGTGTGTGTGAGAGAGAGAGAGAGAGAGAGAGAGAGAGAGAGAGAGAGGAGAGTGATATAACCCTCTGCCCCACAAAGAGAGAAAATTGCACTGCAGGGGTGGACTTGTAAGGCAGTGGTGGTTCACCAATGGCTTCTGCTGCACAGTACTGCTCAGAAATAACTTCGGTGACCCAACTTTTTCTTTTTGTTTTTCATAAATAGTGACCCATCATTCGAAACTCTTCATTTGAGCCTCTGATGAAGGTTCAAACCCACAAAGGCCAAAGCCCATCTGTCTCTCATTGTGTTGAAAATTTCGCAGCTTTTCGTTCTTCTTCCTGTAATGTCATTGACTTGAAGAGTGTTTTTTGGTTGGGTTTGAGCTGTTTTAGTTGAAGTTTCTTTTGTTGGTTTGTGGGTTTGCTTTAAAGATGCTTGGTGTTTAAGGTTTGTTAAAACGGGTTGGTTAGAGTAGACAAATAAAAAGTTCAGTCTCTATCTTATTTTGTCTTCAAAATGAAGCCTTTTTGTCTGTCTAGGGTTTGGTAAGCTGTGAACCTATCTTGAATTTTATTTCTTTTCATCTACTTTATTTTTTAGAGTGTTCTTGCATTTTGCTTTTCTTGTAATTGCATATATTTATGTGTCTTTTGTTTGATCTCTTTGTTTAATTCATGTTTCTCATGAAAATTTAACCATAGGGTCTTTTATCCACTTTTATTCCTAGTTTTGTTGCTATACAGAGATCTCATTTCAATTTTCAAGTTATTCTATCGGTTTTTTGATATTTCATTGTGTTAAACATTCTATGATTTGCAGTGTGAATCTTTATGGAGCAAAATGGAGTTCATCATCTTCTAGTGCTGTCTGACTTTGTGGGTGTCTTCAAATTCAACTACATTGTAAAACCCTATTAACTGCTCAAGAATCAAAGTTGAGGTTTAGTTTTTGTTGAGTAGTATAATGAACATCATAGTGTTATAGAGCAGAGGTCTTTTCTCATCAATTGAATAGAAGCTTTAATCAAAGTTGTTATAGAGTAATTGAATAGAAGGTTTGATCAAACGTGGTCTAGATTGATTTTTGGTAGAAGTGATTCAAAGTAAATGTATGGATCGGAGGGAAGCTATGGCGTTTTCGGGTTCTGCTTCCTATTATATGCAAAGAGGGATGCCTGGTTTACAGGACTCATCGGGCATCCAGCCATTATCTAATCCTAATGTAGCATTTCAATCAAATGTTGGGGGCAGTTCAGTAACAGTTGGGTCAACATTACCAGCAGAGTCGTCTTCGACAATTCCACCTCATGGATTTAATTTGGGTGCACCATCTGATGTTTCACGGGGTGAGTCTGTTCGAAGAAAAAGGGGAAGGCCTCGAAAATATGGGCATGATGGAACAGTGTCACTGGGATTGTCTCCTTCTTCGGTTACACCTCCGGCCAAGTTAACGCCAGTTCAGAAGCGGGGTAGAGGGCGGCCACCTGGGACTGGACGAAAGCAACAGTTCGGTTCTCTTGGTACGTATTGGTGATGATTTTGATTTTTAAGTCATAGTTGGATTAATGATGATGAATGGTGAACTAGTCCTACGCTCCTACTAATGGTTGGATTTACAGCTTTACAGATATATGTTCTCTGTTTAATTAACCCCAAGGGGCAAGGGATATTTCAGTAATTTGGTAGGGTATTTTGCACAGGAGGATAGTATGGAAAATGTTATTTGGACCTAATTTGAGGATCTAATTTAGGGATCTAATGATGTATACCAATAGGCATTTGGTCCGATGGTACTCTTTATCTTGACATTTCAAGTCTCCTCTCCCCTCCCTCTCCCAAAAAGAAAAAATAATAAAAAAATAATGTATACAACCATTGGATTGGTTGTGAGTTTTATCTAAAATTAGAACTCACAACTAATCTAATAGTTGCGTTGAAGTCACGTCATTAAGTCTCTAAATAAGGTCCCTATACCATTACTCGGGTAGTATTTGTTCACGAGGAATTGACGGGTGCTCTAAAGGCCCGGAGACCACCTTGTTAGCTAAAATAGAAAAAAGTTCTCTGTTTGGTTGGAGGATTTCTTAAAATATAATTGTAGTTGTAATTTGAGTAGTTCACTCCTACCATGCATCTTTTTCATTGCTTGTATAATTTTCTTGCTGTTGATCCTTATGATCATGGATTAAATGCCACTCTTGGTCATGATATTGGTGGGGTCTTGGCCCGATTTATTAGTGGCTGATAGTTTATATCTTGTGATTTGGAAAAGCAAAGTGTTAGAAATCTTAAACATTGGATAGCATACCTAAAATAATAACAAATGGAAGACAGTATGATGTGACTGTTTGAAATGAATAGCCAGTCACTTTTAATATGATAAAAGACTTCAGTTTTATATTACATCTGCTTGTCACCTCGAACCTTTTTTTTATATTGGGAATCCTGCAGGCTGAAAGTGTTGATAACTACTGAAGAAAGCTAACTATTTACATTTCTGCATTAAAAATTTTAGGATTTTGGGAATTAACTGCATTACTGATTATCTACATTTTTGCCTTGCTAATTTTGCTAGGTCAATCACTATCTGGTTCAGCTGGAATGGGATTTACTCCACATGTCATAACCATTGCTGTAGGAGAAGTATGTGCCCTTGTCAGTCTCAACTGTTTTGCGCTTTAAGGTTGATTTGCCAAGAAAAACACAAGTTACCCCATAGATTATCTCTTTCTGTACTTGCATTGGTACTAGACATGACACATTAGAGCAGAAATTAGCATGGGGATGCAACATTTTTCATTGAAGTGATGTGGTTTAAATCTACTTAACTAGTTGCGAACATGGTATATGTTAGTGTAGTAAATGATTTCTTCACAATAAATAATGTCTAAATGACTATATTAATGGAAAAAGATTGGGCATAAATGCAAAAAGAGCTAGCACCTAGATTTTGATTGGTATGGTCTTTGCTTGATTTGTGAAATAGCTGTTTCATGAGGCTAAAACAGATGTTCAGCCGACGAAGTCAATTACATTTTATGCCCTTGATACGGAAGACAGTAAAGATAAATTATGGCACTGAAAAAATCTCGTGGGAAAAAAAGAAAATGGTACATTCAGTTGTCGTGTGTCTTGGCTGAGTGGTACAATTTTGATTTCTCTTCTTTTTGTACATTTTTTTTATGCTTGAAATTTAATATTTGGTTTCTCTTACAAAGATCACAGTGTTTCTTGTTGAAGCCATATCTTTTGAAATCGTTTGTGATTTTGGTTTTTGATGCAGGACATTGCAACAAAGATAATGTCATTCTTGCAGCAAGGGCCTAGAGCTATATGCGTCTTGTCGGCCAACGGTGCCATCTCCACTGTGACTCTTCGTCGGCCATCAACTTCTGGAGGCACTGTCACATATGAGGTTTAGACACATTATTGTTATTATCCTCTACTGTCCCTTGGGGTTTTGCTGCCTATTGTTTCTGTAGCTATGAAGAAAAATGCTAATCATTAGTGGATAATTTGTCTACATGCGTAAACTTGTACATTCTTCTATTTGTTTAGATACAAATAAATCATATTCAAAAGCAGTGAATACTAAGATAAACGCCCAAGGTGTGCCTTGTTGGTGGTTTGCTATGGGAGTGGCAACGAAAAATCAGATACCCACCTGTGTCTTGAGACATTTGCTTGTGCATAAACGAACAAAAGTTTAATCCCATTGTTTTATTCGTCTTATTTTATATATGACATATCCAGTGGATTTGAATATGTGCTTATTTTGGAAGGTGTGAAATTTTCTGTATGCATTTGTGTTCACACATGTTTACATTTGTATTGTGTCTCTTTACCTTTTGTAGTTGTGCTGAAACAGAAGTTTGATCATGCTTTATGACTGTAAAAGATGCAGAAATTATTTGCATCCCTCCATCAAATACCAATTATTTTTAACATCTCTCGAGTTTCCTTTCATTCTAGGGCAGAGCCACATAGGGAGGAGTGGGGCAAGTGTGAGTTTTTGAATCCATCTATTTATGTATTGTTAAGGGATGATAGTTTTGTTCATATTTTGTTTAAGTTAAATGAAAACTGATTATTCTATTTTAATATTAATTCAGAGTTGAATTCTAAAATATGTTTTCATGCTTGGACATGTTTTTGTAAAACACGTTGAAATTTTTTTCAGTCATAGTTTGCCCCCTCTAAAATGGAATCATGGCTCTGCCCCTACTTTTATTCCTTAGAATGGACCTTAATGCTCAAATAGCCCAATAATTTCTGATATATGCTTGATTAGATAGCTTTAGGATGTCAATGGTTCAATATGCCTTGCTGACATCTTTTCTACATTTGAAATGTATCCTACTTTTTTTTTCTTTTCATATGATCTTTGTTTCCTATAAAAACTTCAATTTTCCTGAGGAGCGCATACTTGTCTGGTGCACCTTTCTATGCCTTCTGTAGGGGCGCTTTGAGATATTGCGTCTGTCAGGCTCTTACTTGCCTACTGATAATGGTGGCCCTCGCAACCGAACTGGTGGTCTAAGTGTTTCTCTGGCTAGTCCTGATGGTCGGGTCTTTGGTGGTGGAATAGGGGGAGTGCTAATTGCAGCCAGCCTTGTTCAGGTAACTTCTTTTGAATTGAAGTGGCCTTTTAACTACTTGCAGTCCCTCATCCTATTTCACTACTTAACTATATTGCCAGGTTCGATATCTGTTCATTAGATAAACGACTAACAACAGTACCAAAAGAAAACAACGTCTAGTTTCAGCCCAGTAATACTTGTTTATGTTGCAATCCAAGTATCAAAATTTCGTTTTTATTTTACTCCAAAACATTTGTGTTTCTACGGAAATCGGAACAAATCGGTGATTGAATATCAAAGTTTTATTGTTTCAACATGTTTCAAAATGTTTAGAGGCGTTTCAAGTTGTTTCAGTTCAAGTTGTTTCAGTACGTTTCAACTGATGTTTTGGAAACAAATTCTCAAATTTTTTTCTCTTTTCCATTTCTGAGTTGATTGAAGCTATGCACCAAAACGAAATTTTGGTCCTTGCTGTCATCTTTGGCAGTATGCTACATATTATATAGCACACGCAAGTATGATATAACAAATCGTAATGGTTTGTATTGTGAGGCTTAAATGGATGATGACATTTTTCAGGTGATAGTGGGGAGCTTCTTGTGTGGTAGTCCAAGAACAAAGAACAAGGCCGGTGAAATTCTAGAAAGTGGTGGAGATTCAGACCACCAAACAGTTGATAATCCAGTCACTCCAGCTAGTGTTCAGCCAACTCAAAATCTTACTCCGACTTCTTCCATGGGTGTTTGGCCAGGTTCACGGCCATTTGATGTGGAAAATGTTCATGCTGACATTGATTTGATGCGTGCGTGATAATTTCTAGCAGTAGAGAGATGTGCAATGCATATATTTGGCATTTCAGAGCCATTTGAATCTAATCTCGTAAGTCCCACCTAGAACGGGGAAATACGCCGTGGTGTTTGACCTGATTGATCTTATTACACACACTTACTGTAGCATTTGGGTTGTACTCATGTCTTTGCTGCCAATGGATATCTAGTTTGGGATTAGTCATATGTGTCCTTTTAATTTACATTGTATGAGTATTGGTTTATCTTCAAGTTGTACCAGTTAAGACAGAACAGGTGTTCTGGTTAATTAGATAAGCAGCTCATCGAAATCTCGATGATTTGTACAATCTCACAATTTTGGTAGAATTTTTGTTTTGTGATTTTTCTGCATCAGAGTGTTTATCATGGGTGATAGCATTCATGTAACGAAAACAAGGACCTGTTGAAACTCATTTGTATCTAAGCATCGGACCAAGTTATATCCAACTCGTCCCAGTTATCTTCTGGCATGCCTAAGGCTTTCCACACAGCCTTCGAGGCATCAACAATGTTATTAGCGCATGGAGGCTGATAATCATGGTCTTTGTCGCTTCCCATTGTGGTGTCGTCATCAACCACCCTGGCTCTTACACTCTCTCCGTTGGCATTTATGGTGACATAGTGCAGGCACCTTCTCCCACCGTTGTACCATCCAGTCGACAGTGCCACAATTAGTTCGTCATCAGAGTGGTATTGGTTGTCACATTCTGATGGTCCACCACCATCTCCACATTTTCAAAACTGTTTAAAGTGAGGACTGCTTTAGTGTTTCCAGTCACAGGAGGTGAACGTCTGTATATTTTTCTTCGACGTTACAGTCATGATATTCTGTCCCAAACTATGCACTTTTTTATTTGTCTACTTTTATTGATATATATATATATGTGTGTGTGTGTGTGTGTGTGTAACTATAATCTAGTGGAGAAATTTGTCATGCTGCTGTATTATATTGCTTAAAATCTGGAAAAAAACCCCAAGACACGAAGTTCATTTTACGATAAATTGCACTTGAAGTCTCCAAAATAGAGTTTGTTTTATTTTTGTCCATAATATTTCAATCGCATCATTTTAGTTCCTGAAGTATTGAATCTGTTTTTATATGGTGTCTCACAATTAAATTGCTAATAGTTTTTGATCATAAACTGATTACGTGATACTTAAATATGAGTAAAAAATAATTTGGGTAGTTTTTGTCAAAAAATGTGTAATATGGTTAATTTTTGATCAAAATTTGGATACTTATGATCAAAACTATGTAATTTGGGTAGCTTTTTGACCAAAATTTGGTCAAGAGTTTTTCAATTTTTTTCCCCCCATATTTAAATATTACAAGACAAGATTATAATAAAAAGATCGTTAGCGATCTGAACATTATCTGCTTGAGGGACCGTATAGGAACAATATTTAATATTTCAAAGACTAAAATGATGTAATTAAAATATTGAGAATCAAAATAGTCAAACTCCATATTTTGGGACTTTGAGTACAATTAATTAATCCTTCATTTTAATAGTTCTCAGCTCACATTACCAGGAAGTTTTATTCACACTGTCCATCAGCTTAATCAGGACAGAGATAATAACGCCCTAGAAATTCCTGCAATTGTTGCCTATTGTTCGTTTGATTTCTAAAAATATAGATATTGATGGTCTCAACCCCGAAGATCAACGAAGTTTTAGTAATCATTCAGCCCAGTGGCTTCCCTATTCCTTTTCTATTTGGAATTGTCCAACACTGGTGTTTTTGTACTAGTGGTATCCTGGGATTGATAAGGAGTGAATGCAAACTTCAACAATGATTGGGTACGATACCAATCCTGGTCCTGATTGCAAGATAGACTGCAAGAGCAAAATATGGAGTCTTTTTTTGATTCATAATCCATTCCAACTTAAGTTAAAGCAAGAAAAAAGGATAATAAAGAAGGACTACAGTTTCAGACATGAGCAAAAAAAGTTGCTAAGCATCAGACCAGGTTATTAGCGCAAGGAGGCTGATAATCATGGTCTTCGTCGCATCCCATGGTGGAGTCACACACATCGACGACCTTAGCTTTTACAGTCCTTCCATTGGCACTAACGGTAATGTTGTGGAGGCATCTTTCCCCTCCATTGTACCATCCGGTTGAAAGTGCCACATTTAGTTCCACATCAGAGTGGTACTTGCTATCACAATATGGTGGCATATCACCACCTCCATTTTCGAAACTGTTCAAAGTGAGAACTGCCATAGTTTATCTAGACACCGGAGGTGAACATCTGTATGTGGGGTAGGGTTTGCCTTCAACACAGCAGGAGGAGTCATTCCCCTGGTTGCATTGTCCAGGAGGTGTATTTTTGACCTTAACATGTCCACTGGGTTTGCAGGTCTGAGCTTCAGCCTGTAAAAAATTTGAAACAATGAGCATAAGCATTATAAGAACAAATGCTCCTAGGTTGAAGTTCTTCATACTCTCTCTCTCTCTAAAGTGTTGAACCGTTTGATCAGAATCAAGATCTAGAGACTGGGTACATATAAGTCTCGCTGAAGCAAAATGCTGAGGTTGCGCTAAAGAGAAGAAAATTCTGCTTCATACACAATCTATTTTGGTGGTAATATTGTCCGAACAAGGGGCTCATGTGGATCAAATTTAGGAGTCTCGGAACATTTTAAGTGTATTAAAAAGGACCCAACAAATATCGTATTTCAACATTGCTGCCACGGCATTGTGCCCTGGTTAAACATTACATTTATGATATATAAGTCTAGTAATTCATTCTCTCCCAACAAGATATCATATTTGAGTGTTAGTCTGCCATAATCTGTATTCACCAGTGGGATAAACCTATAATCTAATAGAGAAACTTGTTCTGCTGCCTTAGTATATTGCTCCTATTTTGTCCTGCAGTCTGAAAGCTCTACAAGGTACTAAGTTCATTTTAATAGTCCTCATCTCACATTACTACAAAATCCTATTCATATTTACTTTATACTTTATATTATACTAGTCTGTTGTTCATAAAAGTATTGACACTGATGGTCTCACTCCAGAAGAATCATGGCCTACATTCTAGGTTTGTCCTCAGATGACCATCATCGTCTTTTCTACTGGCTTTAAGTATACCACATACGAACGAAGTTGTAGTCTGTTGACATTGTCAACATAGCACAATTTTATTAGGCCAAAACACTGTTTTTTGTACACCTATATGTTGTTCTTTATGTCCTACAAGAAATTCAGCCCAGCAACTTTCCTATGCCCTTATTTTTTTTTCTGCTTGAATTGGAAGCCTTAACTAGCTCAAGGGATGATGTATTTTGGACAATTTTTAGCTTAATAAAAAAAATTCATAGCCTCATAGGTGTTTTCTAAATTTTTTGCATGACTGATGCGTTGTAGTAATTGTAAACTGGAGCCAGCTATGAAGCGGATGTGAAGTTCAATAGTGGTTGGACATGATACCCTATGTTGTTTCTGATTTCTTTCAGTTTACGTAAATTTTAACGAGTCAATTGGAAGGGGATAGTTCCTGAATCAGTATGAATTTCTTGCAATGGTTGTAATCTATGTTGTTATAAGCTTAATAGTTCCCTTTACAAAACCTTCAATGGAGAGCACAAATCATCTAATAATAACTTCTTTATTTTAGTTATATATATATACTCTTCTCTACATTTAAACATATTACAATAGCAATGAAGACCAACTGAACTATTTATGAACATACAATTGACATTCCATATTACTCGGTGCTCTTTCCTCTGCATTGAACTCGGAAATCACGTGTATTTGATTCTTTCTTGAACAATTTTAATCCATTGATCCTGCAGCTGAAGCACGTGTATTTGATTCTTTGGGGCTTGGTTTCTTTCCATTTGTCCACTCTAATTGCTTCAGAAACAGCCCAGAACTATGATTTGAATGCTTATATCAAGGTTTTTGTCTGATACATACCCTGAAATCCCTTGCTTTAGAACTTGGTATCAAAGAAAAATATCCCTCAAACAATTTAACTATCCAAAGTTTTCCAGCTACTTCCTTCAGATGTAGCTGCTAGTGCTAAGGACAAAGATTTCACAGGAATAACATTCTTGATGGATCAAAACCCAAAAACTGTAGTCAATAATAGGCATGGTAATTTTTTTTTGGAGAAAAATAGAATTTAAATTGCGTGAAGGAATTGGATGTATCCTTTTTCCTACAAGATCACTGATGATCCTTTTCCTCTATCTTTACTTGAATTACATAGGAAAATTTGTGTTTTCCAATATCTTCATCACCAGGGTCGTATGGAGTCATCACTTGTTGAAGTTTGGATTGTCTGATTGCTATAAAAATTTATGAGAAAACCATTCTATGCCTAATATGAATGGTTTATTCAGTGTCGATGCAAATATGATCACCCACAAAGCTAGAATTCACGTAATGACATTACATTTCCCGACTCTTTAATAAGAAATTGACACAGTTTCAGTAGACTAGGATAGTACACAGTTTACATAGTTTCACAATGCATGCCAGGATAAGCTAAAACATGAAAAACAGAATAAACAAGTGCTACAGTTTCAAACTAAGCATCGGTCCAAGTTATGTCCAACTCGCCCCAGTCATCCTCAGGCACACCTAAGGCTTTCCACACAGCTTTTGATGCATCAACAATGTTGTGAGGGCATGGCGGCTGATAATCATGGTCTTCATCGCATCCCATAGTGGAGTCACACTCATCAACAACCATAGCAGTCACGGTTTGCCCATTAGCACTAATTTTAATGTTGTTTAGACACCTTGATCCTCCTTTATACCATCCAGTTGACAGTGCCACGACTGGTTTATCATCAGAATGATACTGGTTGTCACATTCTGACGGACCGCCACCATCTCCACCCTTCTGGAAGCTGTTTAAAGTGAGTACTGCCTTAGTATGGCTAGTCACAGGAGGTGAACATTTGTATGTGGTGTAGGGCTTGCCTTGAACACAACACTCAGAGTCATTGTCCCGGTTGCATTGTCCTGGAGGTGGTTTTTTTCCCGTAATATGGCCACTTGGTTTGCAGGCCTGAGCTTCAGCCTGTAAAGCATCAGTTACAAGGAGAATGAACAGTATAAGAACAAATGATCTAAGGCTCAAGTTCTTCATTCTCTCTCTCTCTCTCTCTTGAGTGTTGAAATGTTTGATGAAAAGCAAGATCTGAGACCGTGTATTTGTAAGGTCTGCCAGAAGCAAAATGCCAAGTTTGCGTTCAAGATAAGGAAATTCTGCGACATAGGTAATCTATTTTTTTGTTGTCTCGTTACTGCCACGGCCTTGTGGCCCTGGTTAATCTAATTATGCACTCTCCTTTGTTCATTACTTAATTTTATGCATTTATATGTTTAACAATGCTCTATGTTCCAAGAAGATTGCAAATTTGACACAATCCGTCATAATTTTTATTCACTAGTGGGACAAACCTATAATCCAATGGAGAAACTTGTCCTCCTGCTACTGTATTATGTTGCTTAAAATTTATCCTGCAGTCTAGGAGATCTCGAATGCCAAAGTTCACACAGTACAACGAGATCGTAGTCTTAGTCCCTATCAGACACATCAAGATGGCAATGATGGTATGCTGTAAATTTAGGTAATACTTCTCTATTATTCATATAAGAATATAGATACCGATGGTCTCAATCCTGACGACAACATGTTCCAACCATGGTCTACATCCCACAGTTAATAAAATATTTTAGGTTGCCTTCAGATCACCATCATCATCTCGTCTCGTGGCTTTAATTATAGGACCAGCTTGCTACGTACAATCGAGTCCTAAAACCAGAGCTTAAGAAGTTGTAGTCAGTTGACATAGTTAATAAGATAGTTTTGTCTAGCAAGGAAAAGAATAGTGTACTCGTATACATGTAACTTCGGTTATGATGCTTCTTATTTCATGCAGCAAATTCAACTCGGGTGCTTACCTATTCCCTTATTTTTGGCTGCTCAAATTGAAATCATTAACTAACTTGAGGGATTTGTTTTGAATCTTTTTATCTTAACTTAAATTTATGAGGAATTTTTAAAATCTTATCATAAATGGTTTTCTGTATTTATAAGGTCTGCCTGAAGCAAAATGCCAAGGTTGCTATCGAGATAAGGAAATTCTGCTACATAAGTAATCTACTTTTTGGGGTCTCGTTACTGCCACGGCCTTGTGTCCTGGTTAAATCTAATTATGTACTCTTCTTTTTTTCATTTAACTAATTTTATGCAGTTATATGTCGAACAATGCACGCTGTTCAAAGGAGATTGCACATTAGAATGTTAGTCTGTCGTAATCTTTGTTCACTAGTGGAACAAACATATAATCTAATGGAGAATCTTGTCCTGCTGCTGCAGTCCTAAAACATGTCCTGCAGTCTGGGATAGCTTGAAGGCAAAGTTCTCACAGTACAACGAAATCGTAGTCTTAGAAATCAGGATGATAATGATGGTATCTTGTAAATTTATGTAATACTTGTCTATTGTTCATAAAAATATAGATATTGATGTTCTCAATCCCGACAATAGAATGTTATAACCATGGTTTACATCACACAGAAAAAGTATTCTAGGTTCACCCTCAGATCACCATCACCATCTTGTCCACTGGCTTTAATTATAACACATACAAACAAAGTTGTAGTCAGTTGACATAGTTGTGTTTAGGTAAAAAAAAGAATTGTGTACTCACATATGTGTAACTTCGTATGGTGCTTCTCATTTCATACAAAAAATTGAGATCGGGGGCTTACCTATACCCTTGTTTTTGGCCACTCAAATTTGAATCATTAACTAAATTAAGGCGGCATGTATTTGGACCATTTTTATTTCAAGTTAAATTTATGAGTAATCTGTCAAATCGTAACATAACTGGTGGTTTGTCCTAGTGGTAACATGGGACCAGCTTTGGAGAGCAAGTTCAACCCTATGTGGACATAATATCATCCCTGACTTTGATTTCTGACTATTGTTTCTGCTTGATTCGGCTTCTGTAGATTTCATTTATTTGGATGGGGTTAGCTCCTGTCTCCCTGGAATTGATGGCACCCAGTTTTTTTGCCAAAAAGTTTTGAAAACCAGTAGTCTGAAGTCTGAACTCTTGGACAGGTATTATTCTACTGTTACAAAACATAAGAAGTAGAGTCGAATTACTATAGTAATGCAGGAATGGGCCTTGCAGCAGACTGATTACTAAAGCAAAATATGGAGTGTTTTTTTTCACCTACACCCTCTCAAATAGAGCTTCTAAGAACAAAGAGTTACGAAAAACAACCTTCTTACTGGATCAAAACTCAAACTTTTAGGCAATACTAGGCGAGGTTATACCGATTCTCCTTTTTAGCTATCTTTATTCAATTTAAATTGGAAATTTGTGTTGTTGACAACCTTCACAACCAAGAGTCATGCAGAGTCGCTTCCTGAGATTTGCATGGTCCGATTGGTTGCTAAATATTGCGAACCAAATATTTGGATGCCTAATTGTTTTATTTAGTATTTATGTAGATATGATCATCCACAAGCTAGTATTCAATGAAATTAGATTTCAAAATACATCTGATAAGAAATCATGATACAGTTCAGTGGAACCAGGATACCAAAAAGTATATATAGTTTCATAATTTATGCCGGCATAAGCCAAAACTTGAAAAACACAGTAAATAAGTACAACAGCATAATCTAAGCATCGGTCCAAGTTATATCCAAGTCGCCCCAGTTATCCTCAGGCACACCTAAGGCTTTCCACACAGCTTTCGAGGCATCAACGATGTTGTTAGGGCATGGAGGCTGATAATCATGGTCTTCATCACATCCCATAGTAGAGTCACACTCATCAACAACCATAGCAGTCACTGTCCTCCCATTAGCACTTATTTTAATGTTGTTGTGGCATCTGCTTCCTCCACTGTACCATCCGGTTGATAGTGCCACGACTGGGGTGTCATCAGAGTGATACTGGTTGTCACATTCTGATGGCCCTCCCCCATCTCCACCCTTTTGGAAACTATTTATGGTGAGAACTGCCTTAGTATTGCCAGTCAGAGGAGGTGAACATTTGTAGGTGGTGTAGGGCTTGCCTTGAACACAACAATCAGAGTCATTCTCCTGGTTGCATTGTCCAGGAGGTGGTTTTTTTCCTGTAATATGGCCACTTGGTTTGCAGGTCTGAGCTTCAGCCTGTAAAACATCTGTTACAAGGAGAAGGAACAGTGTAAGGACACATGCTCCTATGCTCAAGTTCTTCATTTCCTATCTTTCTCTATATGACTCTCTTTATCTCTCTCTCTCTGTCTCTCTCCTGTTGAAATGTTTGATGAAAAGCAACATCTGTGCCTGGGTATATATAATGTTTGCCTGAAGCAAAATGCCGAGGTAGCGTTCAAGATAAGAAAATTCTGCTCTGATTAAGAGTCTCAGAACTTTTTAAACTGTAATCAGCAGCAGTCATTGGATATCATTTTTCGACGTTACATCCACGGCCTTGTGCCCTGGTTAAATGTAACTATCCACTCTCCTCTTTTTGTTTTGTTTGAATTTGTTTATCTATTATGGATAACAATGCACTTTGTTCCAAGAAGGTTGCACATTTGAGTGCTAGTCTGTCATATTCTTTCATCACCAGTGGGATATACTATAATTTCTGTGAGAAATTTGTGCCGCTGCTGTAGCTATTGCCCAACATTTTTCCAGTAGTCTGGAAGATCTCCAAGGCACGAAGTTCATTTTAATAGTCCTCATCCCACATAAAACAAGGAAATCCTAGTCTTAACCCCTATAAAGATTAAAAATTATAAAACTTAAGAATTTTATGTAAGACTAGCCTAATACTCACATGTAGGTACTGATGGTCTCAATCCCCGACGATAGATTGTTCCAACCATCGTCTACATCCCACAAATAAATTATTCTATCTTTGCCCTCTGATTACCATCATCAACTTGTCTAGTGGCTTTAATCTTAACACATGCCAACAAAGTTTGAGTCAGTCCACATTAATAAAATAACATAGGTTTGTTTAGCCGAAAAAAAATTGTGTACACGTATAGGTATAGCTCCGGTTATGATGATTCTCATTTCATACATTAAAGTGATTAAAAGGTGTAAAAAGGACATGAATAGTACAAAACCTGCTCTTCTCTACATGAAAAACATATCGAAAAGCTGATCAACTGAAATATTCATGAACAAACAATTGACATAGCATATGGCTTGATGCTTGTTCCTCTGCATTGAACTCTGGGATCACGAGTCTTTGATTCTTCTCGAACTGCTTTAATCCATTGATGCTGCCAGTGAATGCTAATAAATATGCCATTTGTGCCTCGGCTTCGTTCCATTTTTCTACTCTAACTGTTTAAAATCACTCCAGAGCACCCTTTCGAATGTTTATATCATGGTTAAAGTACAATAGATAACACAGTCCATTCCTCTAAAAATGGGTGTCAAGGAAAAACCTCCCACCAAAAAACTCAATGTCCAAAACTTTATGTTTCCGATTTGAATGGAAGAGAGTTTCCCGGTTTCCTGAATTCTTTCTCATAGCAAATATAAGGCAATCTGGATTTCAGGCAAAAATTTTTTTGCAATGTACGGATACAAAATCAGGGAGTCGAATTTGAATAAATTAAAGTAGAATGATTAGTAATTCTGGAAGGAAAGGACCCTGCAGCAGACTGATTAGAAGAGCAAAACAAGAGTCCTTTTTCATCTACACTCTTTTCATAGAGAGCTGCTAAGAACAAATAAGTTGCACAGGAGAACGTTCTTAATGAATCAGAATTCAATTTTAGGCAATGCTACGCGATGTAATTCTTTTGAGAAAAAGAAAATTAGACTGCATGCAGGAGAGGGAAATTATCTTTTTCAAGAGCAGGTAATGATGCTGCCTTTGCCTATCTTTAGTTGATATAAATGGAAATACTGCAGATAAATGTTTTTCATGCCTAATATATTAGTTTTTCTCATTGCTTATGTAAACGCGATCATCCACAGAGTTGGAATTCATGTTATGAAAATACAACACATTTTCATTAAGAAGTAGTTCATGATACAGCAGTTTAGTAGAGCCAGGAAAGTACAAAGTATACATAGTTTGATAATTCATGCCACCATAAGCTAAACAAGAAAATCATAATAAACAGGTAGTTCAAACTAAGCATCGGTCCATGTGATATCCAAACTGCCCCAGTTATCCTCAGGCACACCTAAGGCTTTCCACACAGCTTTCGAGGCATCAACGATGTTGTTAGGGCATGGAGGCTGATAGTCATGGTCTTCATCACATCCCATAGTAGAGTCACACTCATCAACCACCATAGCAGTCACAGTCCTACCATTACCACTTATTTTAATGTTGTTGTGGCATCTGCTTCCTCCACTGTACCATCCGGTTGATAGTGCCACAACTGGGGTGTCATCAGAGTGGTACTGGTTGTCGCATTCTGATGGCCCGCCCCCATCTCCACCCTTTTGGAAACTATTTATGGTGAGAACTGCCTTAGTATTGCCAGTCACAGGAGGTGAACATTTGTAGGTGGTGTAGGGCTTGCCTTGAACACAGCAGTCAGAGTCATTCTCCTTGTTGCATTGTCCAGGGGGTGGTTTTTTTCCTGTAATATGGCCACTTGGTTTGCATGCCTGAGCTTCAGCCTGTAAAACATCTGTTACAAAGAGAATGAACAGTATAAAAACAAATGCTCCAAGGCTCAAGGTCTTCATTTTCTTTCTCTCTCTGACTCTCTCTCTTTTTGAGGGTTGAAATATTTGATGAGAAGCAAGATCTGAGACTGGGTATATATAATGTTTGCCTGAAGCAAAAGGCCGAGGTTGAGTTCAAGTTAAGAAAATTCTGCATGATTTAGGAGGCCTCAGAAAATTTTTAAGCATATTGAGCAGGACCAAATGGATATCCTTTTTCGACGTTACTGCCACGGCTTTGTGCCCTGCTTAAATCTAAATGTCCACTCTTCTCTTTTATTTTTTGTGATTTTATATGTTTATTATCTATAACAGTGCACTCTCTTCCAACAGGGTTGCATATTTGCGTGCTAGTCTGGCAGATTCTCTAATCACCAGTGGCATAAACTAGCTGCTGTATCATATAGCCCAATATTTGTCCTGCCGTCTGGAAGATCACCAAGGCACAATGTTTGTTCTAGTAGTCCTCATTCCACATAAAACAAGGAAATCCTAGTCTTAGTCCCTATCAATATGTAAAATAATAAAACTTAGAGATTTATGTAATACTCACCTAATGTTTATGTTCATATAGTGATACTGCTGGTCTCAATCCCGACGATAGAATGTTCCAACTGTGGTCTTTTTCCCCCCGATAAAATTTTCTAGTTTGCCCTTACCATCGTCATCTTGTCTATTGGCTTTAATTATAACACACGCGAACAAAGTTGTAGTCAGCTCAAATTAACACAATAACATAGGTTTGTTTAGCAAAACATAAAAATAAAAAATTGTGTACTTTTATAGTTGTAGCTTCAGTTATGGTGTTTCTCATTTTGCAAAGAAAATTCACTTCGGTAGCTTACCTATTTCCTTATTTTCAAATTCTAACATTAATGTGTTTTGTACTAATGCTACCACGGGCCAGCTATGAAGGAACCGCAAGTTAAACCTTGATTGGATATGATACTATTCCTGATTCTGATTTCCTTCTGTTGTTTCGAATCCGTTGATGCTAATAAATCTGCCATTTGAGCCTCGGCTTCTTTTGATATGTCTAGTCAACTGCTTAAAATCGTCCCACAGAACAGCCTTTTGAATGTTTATATCAAGGTTAAAGTATATTAGATAACATAGTCCATTCCTCTAAAAATGGGTGTCAATGAAAAACCTCTCACCAAAAATTTCAATGTCCAATACTTTATATTTCATAATTGAATGGAAAAGAGTTTCCAGGTTTCGTAAATTATCTCTAACTGGTTCGGGCAGAGGCAAATATAAGCCAGTTCGAATTTCAGGCAAAAATGAATGCAGGATCTGGAAATTTTCTTTTTGCTACAGAAGTTGTTACCAATGCTTAAAATTTGAAAATTTGTGATCTCAAGTATATTCACAATCAGGCGTCACTGATGATCTGATTGCTATGAAGTACTGCAGAGCAAATCATTTCGTGTGTAATATATCAGTTTTGTTCATTGTTTATGTAAACATGATGATCCACAAAGTTAGAATTCATATTAGGAAGATACATTCCACCATTCATTTAATAAGAAGTTCATGATACAACAATGTGGTAGAGTTAGGATAGTAGAAAGTATACATAGTTTAGCAATTCATGCCAGCATAAGCTAGAAAAAGGAAATCATAATAAAATAGTTGTTCAAACTAAGCATCGGTCCAAGTTATATCCAAACCGCCCCAGTTATCCTCAGGCACACCTAAGGCTTTCCAAACAGCTTTCGAGGCATCAACGATGTTGTTAGGGCATGGAGGCTGATAATCATGGTCTTCATCACATCCCATAGTAGAGTCACACTCATCAACAACCATAGCAGTCACAGTCCTCCCATTAGCACTTATTTTAATGTTGTTGAGGCATCGGCTTCCTCCACTGTACCAGCCGGTTGATAGTGCCACGACTGGGGTGTCATCAGAGTGGTACTGGTTGTCGCATTCTGATGGCCCACCCCCATCTCCACCCTTTTGGAAACTATTTATGGTGAGAACTGCCTTAGTATTGCCAGTCACAGGAGGTGAACATTTGTAGGTGGTGTAGGGCTTGCCTTGAACGCAGCAGTCAGAGTCATTCTCCTTGTTGCATTGTCCAGGAGGTGGTTTTTTTCCTGTAATATGGCCACTTGGTTTGCAGGCCTGAGCTTCAGCCTGTAAAACATCTGTTACAAAGAGAATGAACAGTATAAACACAAATGCTCCAAGGCTCAATATCTTCATTTTCTACCTTTCTCTCTCTGACTCTCTCTCTCTTTTTAGGGTTGAAATGTTTGATGAAAAAACAAGTTCTGAGACTGGGTATATATAATGTTTGCCTGAAGCAAAAGGCCAAGGATGAAGTTCAAGATAAGAAAATTCTGCCTGATTTAGGAGGCCTCAAAACATTTTCAAGTGTATTGAGCAGGAGCCAATGGATATCCTTTTTCGACGTTACTGCCACGGCCTTGTGCCCTGCTTAAATCTAAATATACATTCTCCTCTTTTTATTATTTTTATTTTATTTGTTTATTATGTACAACAGTGCACTCTCTTCCAACAGGGTTGCATATTTGAGTGCTAGACCAGTGGGATAAACTATCTGCTGTATCATATTGCCCAATATGTGTCATGCAGTCTGGAAGATCTCCAAGGCACAAGTTTATTTTAGTAGTCTTGATTCCACATAAAACAAGAAAACCCTAGTCTTGGTCCCTATCAAAATGTAAAATAATAAAACTTAGGGATTTTATGTAATACTAGCCCAATGTTCATAGAGGATCTACTGATGGTCTGAATTCTGACAATAGAATGTTCCAAACGTGGTCTACTTCTCACACATAAAATATTCTAGGGTTGCCCTCAGGTCACCATCATCATCTTGTCTAGTGGCTTTAATTACAACACATACAAACAACGTTGTTGTTAGTTTGCATTATTATAATAACATATGTTTGTCTAGCAATCAGAAAAAAAAAATGTCCTCGTATTGGTGTAACTCTGGTTATGGTGATTCTCAGTTCATACAAAAAATTAACCTTGGGAGCTTACCAATTCCATTATTTTCAGACCCTACCATAACTAGTGTTTTGTACTAATGGAAACACGGGGTCACCTATGGAGGCACAACAAATTCAACCTTGATTGGATATGATACCATCTGTGATTCTGTTTGCCAATTGCTTTTTCTGCTTGAATCGTTTTATTTAAATTTGGGTGATTTGGAAGGGGATAGCACTTAGATCACTATGATTATTTTTACCCTGTCCCCCTTTGCAATTTGATTGATTGTGATCTCCATTGTCAAAAGCTTAATAGATCCCTTCTGATAGACAAGTGTGAAAAGGACTGGAATAGTACAACACATACTCTTCTCTACAAGAAAACATATCAAAATGTAGATCAACTGAAATGTTCATCAACAAACAATTGGCATTGCTTATAATTTGATGTTTTTCTATGCATTGAACTCCAGCATCATGAGTCTTTGTTTCTTCTCAAACAACTTTAATCTATTGATGCTGCAAAAGAATGCCAATGAATATGCCATTTGAGCCTCAGATTCTTTCCATTTGTCCACTCTAACTGCCTAAGATCATCCCAGAACAAAATTTTGCTATGATCCTTGTTAAAGTATAATACGTAACATAGTCCATTCTTCAAAAAATGGGTGTCGAGGAGAAATCTTTCGCAACAAAATTTCAATCTCCAAAAACTTTATATTTCACATTGGAATGGAAAATAGCTCCCAGGTTTCCTAAATTATCTCTCATTGGTTCAGGGAGAGGCAAATATAAGGCAATCCGGATTTCAGCAAAAAAGTTTGCAGTACCAATACAAAAATAGGGAGTGGAAGTTGAATATATGAAAGCAGATTTACTGAGGAATGCAGGAAGGAAGGGACCCTGCAGCAGACTGATTACAAGAGCAGAATATCGAGTTCCTTTTTCAGCTACACCATTTCAGAGAAACTGCTAAGAACAGAGTTGCAAAGAATAACATGCTTAATGGATCAGAACTCGATTTCAGGCAACTACTAGGTGAGGTAATTTTTTGGAAAACACACGAATTAAAAAATTCTTGCAGGAGCTGGAAATTTTCTTTTTGCTAGTAGAAGTTACCGATGCTCTTTTTCCCAGTCTTGAGTTGATTTCAACCAGACATTATGTGCTCTAGGACCTTCAAATTTAGGCGTGGTGCATAATGGTGTCTTAAGATTTGGATGATCTGATTGTTGCAAAATACTACAGGGAAATTCTTTTCCTATATAATATGTTAGTTTCGTTCATTGTTTTGTGTCAACTTGATCATCCACAAAGTTAGAATTCATATTAGGAAAATACATTCCACAATTCATTTAATAAGAAGTTCATGATACAGTAGTTTAGTAGAGCTAGGATAGTACAAACTACAAAGTATAAATAATCAGACAATTCATGCCACCACAAGCTTCAATAAGGAGATCATAATAGAACACTAGTTCCAACTAAGCATCGGTCCAAGTTATATCCAAGCCGCCCCAATTATCCTCAGGCACACCTAGGGCTTTCCACACAGCTTTCGAGGCATCAACGATGTTATTAGGGCATGGAGGCTGAAAATCATGGTCTTCGTCACATCCCATAGTAGAGTCACACTCATCAACAACCATAGCAGTCACTGTCCTCCCATTACCACTTATTTTAATGTTGTTGTGGCATCTGCTTCCTCCACTGTACCATCCGGTTGATAGTGCCACGACTGGGGTGTCATCAGAGTGGTACTGGTTGTCGCATTCTGATGGCCCGCCCCCATCTCCACCCTTTTGGAAACTATTTATGGTGAGAACTGCCTTTGTATTGCCAGTCACAGGAGGTGAACATTTGTAGGTCTTGTAGGGCTTGCCTTGAACACAACAATCAGAATCATTTTCCTGGTTGCATTGTCCAGGAGGAGGCTTTTTTCCCGTAATATGACCACTTGGTTTGCAGGCCTGAGCTTCAGCCTGTAAAGCATCTGTTACAAAGAGAATGAACAGTGCAAGGACACATGCTCCTAAGCTCAAGTTCTTCATTCTCTCTCTCTCTTGATGGTTGAAATGTTTGATGAAAAGCAAGATCTATGAAGGAGTATATATAATGTTTGCCTAAAGCTAAATGCCGAGGTTGCATTCAAGTGTATTGAGCAGGAGCCAATGAATGGATAGCCTTTTCCGACGTTACTGCCACGGCCTTGTGCCTTGGTTAAATCTAAATATCCATTGTTTGATTTTATTTATTTATGTTGGAGTATAGTCTAGTTTATTAAGTTTTTTTTTTTTATTCTTACTGTGATTTTATATTTTGCCTAAACTATAAGGATATTTTGGTCACTTTGTATTATTATTTGACTCTATATATATGAAACTCTACTTTTAGTTTGAATATCCCTTTTCACTCACATTTATTCCAAATTGGTATCAGAACTTAACTTTAACCCTAACCCTAACTTCTCCGTCATCCTCACCAGCAATTAGCAGCCTTCATCACAGCATGTTGCAGCCACCAGCCACCACACTGCCACCAGACTGCTGCCATACCAACAACAAACCAACTAAATCCCCCACTGTCCAGTGACAAAACCCCATAACTTAGACCACTCAGTCAAAATCACTCTAACGAACCAATATGCAGCACCGACAGCAACCCAGTAGCACCGAAACACCCAATCTATTAAAATCAGCATAAAGCATTGACCGACTAAATCCATAAAGCACCGACAGCCTACCCATAACAAACCCACTGCCCATCCTTCACAGCCAAACCCAATAGCAAACCCAGCCTAAAACAAAACAGCACCGACATACCCATAGCAAACCCACATAGCCAAACCCAATTCTTAAAACATCAAACCGATCATCACCGACAACCAACAAAATAGCTAACATCACTGACAAAAACCCAGCGACTGCTCAGTATAAAACTACACAGCCCTTCGCCAACTACACAACCCATTGACCAACTACACAACCCATCTTTTACTGCCCAGTATGAAACTTCACCGACTAGCATAAAACTCTACCGACAGCCAAGTGACATAAAATACTACATCAACAGCTATACAAACCAAACAGCTAGCAACATCAACTACCTCCTTCATTATACCTAAGCACCAGTCAGTCTAAAAGAAAACACATACCAGACCCAGCCCATTAAACATATACTAAACCAGCCCACTGTTACTCAGCCCACTGTCTGGTCCTTTTTCTTCATTGTAACTTCGTCGTTAATAGTCTTCGTCATAATGCTGTCAAGTTGCAATATCTAGGGCTGTTTTAAGAGGGGTTGAATCCTCTTCTCCGTTGATTTGCTTTTGATGCAGTAGATTATTTATTTTCATTTACTGAAATTCTGGGCACTGTGACCTGATTATTTGGGAGTTTTTTAGACCTTCTCTATCTCTCGTTATTGTTCAACTAGAGGTATATTGTTCTCCCTTATTTTATCTCTCTATTTATCTTAGAGTTGTTTTTTCTGTCACGTGTGTCATACTATTGTTGTTGATATGACTACTACTGAGGGACTGGAGACCTCTATTGTTGACACCTCTATCGTTGAGACATCCACTGTTAGTACTTCCACTTGGAATGTACTGTCTGGTCGCCTGGACCAGCACCGACAGGACATCCCAAATCAGCGCAAACAAACAGTTTCTCGTCAGTGTGATTATTGTGGCTGATCAGGACATCTCAGGGCTACTTGTTGGAAACTTCATCCGGAGCTTAAGCCGCATTCTCGCAGCCACACTATTGTCATTGGTAAGGCACCATCATCTATAGTTATTGCTCCTGCTACTACTGCTACTGCTCCTCTTTGGCAGAGTGATATGGATGTTATCATTTCTCGCTTAGATAGACTTATGTCAGCCTTGACTTCTCGAGATCCGACTACTACTGCTGCAACTACTGCTGGTATACCTCGTGCTTTTCATACTTGCGCCAGTCCGTCTCCCCTTTGGATACTGGACTCGGGTGCTAATGGTCATATGACGGGTGAGGCTCATCACTTCACAACTTTTGACGAGTAGTTACATACACAGGTTCAGCTAGCAGATGAGACACATGCCTTTATTGTTAATAGGGGTACAGTCCGCCTTCCAGATAGCTTTACATTACATTCGATTTTTCATGCGCCAAAACTGGCCATTAATCTATTATCTGTACATCAGTTAGCTAGAGATTTTCACTGTACGATTGTATTTTTATTTGATTCGTGTTATTTGCAGAACCTGAGTACTAAGAGGATTATTATCAGGGGACATGAGAGAGATGAATTGTATTATCTAGGCTATTCACCTCCAGTTTTACCAGTTCCTCCTCCTCCATTATTTGCACCTACTTTGTCTTTATCTGAATGCTAGTATTTTGCCTAATACTTATCGTTATGATTTTTCATCACAAGCTATTCAGTTGTGGCATGACCGTTTTGGGCATACAAATTTTAAATATTTATGTATGTTATTTTCTGCTTTGAGCAATTCTTGTATTAGTGATAAACTTGACTGTGTTATATGTTTCCTATCGAAACATGTTCGGACCAGTTATATTCCTCGCATGCACCAGTCACCCAAGCCATTTGACCTAATACACTCTGATATTTGATGACCCTCTCCTGTTACTACTTTGTCAGGTGCTCGATACTATGTGATATTTATAGATGACCATACTCGTTTTACTTGGGTCTATATTTTGCATAGGAAGTTTGATGTACTCCCTATCATCACTCAGTTTTTTCAGATGATTAAAACACAATTCAATGTCATTGTTCGTGCTCTTCGTTCGAAAAATACCAAAGAATATGTGTCTGATGCCTTAGTGTCTCACCTTTCTTCTTAGGATATCCTTCAGCAGCTCACTTGTCCATATACTCTTGAGCAAAATGGAGTTGCTGAAAGGAAAAATAGGAGTCTAATAGGGATGTTATGTTGTATGCTTAGAGGTATGGGAGTACCAAATCTTATTAACATTTTGTTATTTTGACTTCTACCTTTTTGTGTAATCGTACACCGAGTCGTGTTCTTCAACATAGAGCTCCCTTACAGGTCTTATTCCTTGAGCGGACACTTTTTTCGGTCCCCCCCTCGTATTTTTGGCTGCACATATTTTGTTCAAGATCGGTCTCCTACTCGTCATAAACTTGATGATAAAGCGATTCGTTGTGTCTTTGTAGGCTATTGTCATCAGTCTAAAGGGTATCAGTGTTATGATCGTATCAGGCGCTGTATATATCATAGTCTAGATGTTACCTTTCTTTAGCACATTCCTTATTTTTCTTCTATTCCTGTGTCTGCCCCTTCAGTTGATGATACTTCTTTTGATTTTTCATTACCACAGGAACTAGAATCATTAGTCACTATCACTACAGAGTCATCAGTCTCTCCTCCACCATAGTCATTCGTCCCTGTCAGTACAGAGTCACCAGTCTCTCTTCCTTTGTAGGTTTATGTTTGTCGCCCTCGCTCTCATCCCCTGCTAATGTCCTCTCTACCTCAGGCGATGCAAGTAATACTTCTCAGTTTGTTGAGCATATTATGCACCTGTTGTTAGTACTGATGAGATTACAGGTACTGAGCCAGTTATTTTCCCTGATGAGACATTGTCAATGGAGGATGATGATTTAGGGCGTCGTTATCTGCAGCGTGATCGTCGTCCAGTTGTCCATTATGGTTGGATTGCTAGGACTTTATATTCGATCTTTGCTTATGTTTCTTATGGTGATCTTTCTCCTAGATTTCGAGCTTATAGTATGACCTTATCAGATACGTCAGTTCCTCGCTCTGTTTTAGAGGCTATGCGGGAGCCCCAGTGGATTTTTGTCATGCAAACGGAGATGGACGCTCTTCAGCGTAATCATACGTGGGATCTTGTCTCTTTACCTTCAAGGGTGAAGCTTATTGGCTGTCGCTGAGTTTACACCCTGAAGTTTCTTGTGGATTGTACTATTGATCGTCACAAGGCTAGACTTGTGACAAAGGGCTTTACTCAGGTACCAAGTCGTGATTTTAGTGCTACCTTTGCTCTCGTGGCAAAATTAACTACCGTTTGATTGATTATTTCTCTGGCTGCAGAGTCCTCTTGGCCTCTTCATCAATTGGATGTGGAGAATGCATTTATTTACAGTGATCTGGATGAGATTATTTATATGGATGCACCACCAGACTTTCGTGGTGAGGGGGAGTATGCTGGAAAGATATGTCGACTGCGTAAGTCTCTCTATGGACTGAAACAGTCACTACGAGCCTGATTCTCTCGCTTTAGTGATGTAGTTGTACGTTTAGGGTTCACCAGATATCATTCTGATCATACCTGCTTCATTCGACGGAATACTTCTAGACAGTGTGTCATCCTTCTAGTATATGTTGATGATATTATTATTATTGGAGATGATATTTCTAGGACTATGCAGGTTAAGGTAGACTTTAGGAAGGCCTTCGATGTGAAGGATCTTGGATTTCTACGATACTTTCTTGGGATTGAGGTTGCTCGTAGCAGTAGGGGTATTGTTCTATCTCAGAGAAAGTATGTTTTGGATCTTCTCTGAGACACTGGGATGTTGGGGTGCAAACCGGCATCATCACCCATGATTCCAAACCTAAAGCTTACTGTTGAAGGTGAGGAGTTGAGAGATCCGATTGTCTATCAGAGGTTGGTATATAGACTTATCTACCTAGCCAACACTAGGCCAGACATTTCATTCGCTATCAATCGAATTAGTCAGTTCATGCACAGGCTGTCAGCCTCATCTTGATGAAGTTTATCATATTCTTCGGTACCTTAAGTCTTGTCCTGGACTTGGGTTGTTCTATGCATCAGGATCTCAGACTGGTCCTTTAGCTTGTTATTCAGATTCAGATTATGAGGGAGCAAGTGACGGTTGATCTACTACGAACTTCTGTACTTTTTGAGGGACTCATCTTATCTCTTGGAAGAGCAAGAAGCAGACAGTTGTCTCTCGTTCGTCAGCAGAGGCAGAGTATTGGGCACTGGCACTTGGCACTTGGCACATGTGAAATTATCTGGCTACGATCAATTCTTGGCGAGTTGGGATTTTCAGTGGTTTCTTCATCTACATTATATTGTGATAATCGATCTGTTATTTAGCTCGCTTCTGACTTTGTCTTACACGAGTGGACAAAGCATATAGAGATCGATGTTCACTTTCTTCGGGAGAAGGTTCGATGTGGTATTGTCACTCCATTGTTTATGGGGACCAGTGATCAGATTGCGGATGTTTTCATCAAACATGTCACTCTATCTATTCTTCGGGACTCTGTTGTCAAGCTTGACTTAGTTAATATTTTTGCTCCTAGCGTGAGAGGGAGTGTTGGAGTATAGTTTAGTTTATTAGAATTTTTTTTCCCTTTTTAATCCTTACTATGATTTTATATTTTGCCTAAACCACAAAGATATTTTGGTCACTTTGTATTATTATTTGACTACGTATATGAGGCTCTACTCTTAGTTTGAGTATCCCTTTTCACTCACATTTATTCCAAGTATTTATTGTGAATAATATATCACTCTCTTCCAACAAGGTTGCATACTTGAGTGCTAGTCTGTCATATTCTCTAATCACCAGTGGGATAAAGTAGCTGCTGTGTCATATTGCCCAATATTTGTCATGCAGTCTGGAGGATCTCGAAGGCACAAAGTTTGTTTTAGTAGTCCTCATTCCACATAAAACAAGGGAATCCTAGTATTAGTCCCCATCAACATGAAAAATTAATAAAAACTTAAAAGAGAATTATGTAATAGTAGCCTAATGCTCATATAGAGATATCGATGGTCTCAATCCTGACGCTAGAATGTTCCAACAGTGGTCAACTACGGAGGAATGGCAAGTTCAACCCTGTCTGGATATGATACCATCCTTGATTCTGACTTCCAACTTCTGGTTCTGCTTGATTCGTTTTTATGTAAATGGAGTCATTTGGAAGAAACTAGCTTTTAGATCACTTTGATTGTTTCTACACTGTCCTCCTGCAATTTGATAGATTGTGATCTCCATTGTGATAAGCTTAATAGATTCCTTCTGATTGAAAGGTGTAAAAAGGACTTGAATAGTACAAAATGTGCTCTTCTCTACATGTAAAACACATCAACATGCAGATCAACTGAAATATTCGTGACCAAAAAATTGACATAGCGAATGACTTGATGCTTTTTTTTTTGCTTCTTCTCGATCTACTTTAATCCGTTGATGCTGCCAGTGAGTGCCAATGGATATGCCATTTGAGCCTCAGCTTCTTTCCATTTGTCTACTCTTAGCTGCTTAAAATTATCCCAGAACTCCTTTTTGAATGTTCATGTCATGGTTAAAGTACAGATAACATAGTCATTCTTATAAAAATGGGAGTCACGGAAAAATTTCTCACAAAAAATTTGAATCTACAAACTTCCGTATTTCCGATTTGAATGGAAGAGAGTTTCCAGGTTTCCTAAATTGTCTCTCATTGGTTGTGGCGGAGGCAAAGATAAGGCAATTCGGATTTTAGGCAAAAAAAATTGCGATGCACTGATACCAAACATAGGGAGTGAAAGTCGAATATATGAAAGCACATTGACTTAGGAAGGAAGATCCTCGTAATAGACTGATTACAAGAGCAAATTATGGAGTGCCCTTTCAGCTACACCCTTTCAGAGAGAGAGCCGCTAAGGATAAACGATTTGCATAGAATAACATTATACATATATCTGAATGCAGGAGCTGCAAATTTTACTTTTGCTGCAGGAGCTTAAAATCCAAAAATTTGTGATCTCAAGGACATTCACAATCAGGCGTCATGCAGAGTAGCACTTTCGATTTGGATGATCTTATTTCTATGAAATACTGCAGAGAAAATCTTCTCATGCCTAACATATCAGTTTTGTTTGTTGTTTATGTCTACATAATCATCCAAAAAGTTGGAATTCAAATTAGGAAACTACATTCCACCATTCATTTAATAAGAAGTTCATGATACAGCAGTTTAGTAGAGCTAGGAAAATACAAAGTATACACAGTCTGACAATTCATGCCAGCATAAGTTACGATAAGAAAATCATAATAAAACAGTAGCTCAAACTAAGCATCGGTCCAGGTTATATCCAAGTCGCCTCAGTTATCCTCGGACACACCCAATGCTTTCCACACAGCTTTAGAGGCAGCAACGATGTTGTTAGGACATGGAAGCTGATAATCATGGTCCTCATCGCATCCCATAGTGGAATCACACTCATCGACAACCATAGCAGTCACAGTCCGCCCGTTAGCACTTATTTTGATGTTGTTGAGGCACCTGCTTCCTCCACTGTACCATCCTGTTGACAATGCCACGACTGGTGTGTCATCAGAGTGGTACTGGTTGTCACATTCTGATGGCCCGCCGCCATCTCCATCCTTTTGGAAACTGTTTAAGGTGAGAACTGCCTTAGTATTTCCAGACACTGGAGGTGAACGTTTGTATGTGGTGTAGGGCTTTGTCATTCTCTTGGTTGCATTGTCCAGGAGGTGGCTTTTTCCCTGTGATATGACCACTTGGTCTGCAGGACTGAGCTTCTGTCTTAGTAAAATATGTCACATTGACAATGAGAACTATAAGAAGACATCCTTTGAAGCTGAAGTACTCCATTCTCTCTCTCTCTTCTCTGTACCTTTAATGTTCAAAGGTTGGATGCAGAGCAAGATTTAGCAACTCTTATTTATAGGCATGGTGAGGGAAAATGCCAAGAGTCTGTTCAAGCTTGAAAATTCTGCTTCATTTTTGTAATCTTTTTCTTATTTTGGGTCATATTTTCCAGTAAATGCTCATTTGGTTTATGAGGAATCAAATTTAGGAAGCATCAGAACTGTTTCAATTTTTTTAACAGAGCAAAGACATTGTTTTCCGCGGTTGCCACCACGGACAGATGCCTTGGTTAAATCTAACAATGCACTCAGTTCTTTAAATATGTTTAATTAATCAATTTCTTTATGTTAACCATGCACTTCTTTTTTTTATATACAAAAGTGCATAATTTAGAAGAAACTGATGTAGAAGAAGTGGAGGAAGATATCTTAGAGCGGGAACACCATTGCGCGCATCCAAAACCCAAGGGAAAACGGCAAAGTTATATTAGAGACAAAAACGGAGCGTACTAGTGCTATTCAATTATAATCACTCCAAAGATCAATACTCATTGCTTTGCCATGACATAAAATTGCTCTTCAGATAAATTCCATCATTTAGGCCCTCTGGCAATTTTGCCATTTGGGAAAAGATAAAAAAAATTCATGATTTGATTTAGAAAAATTTAGGATTTATTTTCATCACATTATTAGATAATCAAATATACTATAAAACACAAAAATCACATAGAGGAGGTCGCCCACGCATGTAATGTATAGTTTTAAGGCTACAAAACAAGAGCGAAGAAATTACAGTAGTCTAAAAATATTGGGAGTTAGATTTGAGACACAAACTGATCAGATATCCAGTACCATCCAGTGCCAAACTACCTTACAATTATAAGGATTCATGTGGAAGGAGATGGCACCAGATCACTATTAACTGTTTTTTTTTTTTAAATTTTGTGCATCAAAAGAGATTGGTCTAGTTCCTTTTAGGATTCAAACTGCAAAGAAAATATGTTGTAAACAAAGTTGAAATATTACTCCACATGTCAGGGGAAACTATTCCTGGAGAACATCAACCATCCCCTACCACACATCTCCCTGCTGCACATGAGCAAAATTTTGTAGAAACTGTGGTGGTTTTATCTTGTATTCGACTCCAATTCATACCCAAATTAAGAAACTCTGCGAGTCCTAGTTTTAATTGGGACCCATTTCCAATATCAGACCCGAATAGGAGACTGATGGTGCTTTAGAAATTTGATCTTTTCAGGATTTGGAGTTCTAACTCCATTGGGGAACAAGAGTTTTTGAGTACCATAAACATTGTAGGAGTGAATGCTGAGCACATGAACAGAATGCTGTTGGCATGTTCGAGGTAATTTGGGAGATCAGTTTGATTTACTTGTTCTCTAGCACTTGTTTCAGAGAACTCTTTGGTTTCTTTCGAGCTAAAATGTCTCGAATTTATAAGTTTTGTGGGTTTTTTTTTTAGTTCGTTTTGCTATTTGTTTGTGGTGCATAACAGTAACATTAATGCAGATTTTGTATATTACACTATAAACATAACTTGGCAGATTACATTCTATGATCAACATCAAGAAAAAGATGTACTTGTGGAATTAATATAAGCAAGTAGTTCAAACTAGACAGGGGACCAAGTGACTTCCAACTCGCCCCAATCTACGAGAGGCACTCCAAGGCTGTCCACACAGCTCTTGAAGCATCAACAATGTTGTTATCACATGGTGGATGATAATCGTGGTCTTTATCACATCCCATGGTGGAGTCACGCTCATCCACCACCATCGCCACCACATTCCGCCCATTTGCAGTTATGGTGATATTGTGGAAGCACCTCTTCAAATTGTTAAACCAACCAGTTGACAGTGCCACAATTGGTAAGTCATCAGAGTGATACTTGTTGTCACATACACTACGGCTGTCACCATCTCCACCTTTCTCAAAGCTGTTAAGGGTGAGTTTCGCCTTGGTGTGTTTGGTAACTGGTGGTGAACACTTGTATGTTGTGTACATTTTACCTTCAATACAACAGTCAGATTCAATCTCTGGGTTGCATTTCTCAGGGTCTGGTTTCTTTCCCCTAATTCTTCCACTTGGCCTACATGAATGTGCTTCAACATCCAAACACGCAGCAAATAAGAGAATGACAAAAACAATTACATGTGTTTTTGAGTGATTTCCCTTCATTTTGCCCTCTCTCTCTCTCTCTCACTTACTTTCTCTATGTTTGTGGAGGGAGAAAGGTAGAAGCTTCAAGTGGGAATTTATAAGAGTTGCCTTGTGCCTAGAATTACAATAAAACCCGATATTTCTTGTGCAGAGTGCTAGATAAGTTTGAGCTTTGCAGCTTCATTGTACAACGAGTTTAGCCCGATATGGGGGCATTGGAAGTTGTATTATGCTTGTCTTGGTTAAGAGGTTCCAAGGGAGCATTCTGTTCATGTTTTGTTTTTACCTTACACAACATTACTGCCACGGTCTGTTTTTGAAATTTGTTCATTTAAACAATTCAAAGGGTCTTAATCTAAGTTCTATTATACAATCCAAAGAAGCATTCGTGTTCCTTTTTTATTTTTTCCCATCAATTGCTTATTCAATATAAGAGGCGGGTCTTGGCAGAAAGAATGCTCCGTTGTGACCTGAAAGTCAAGTGTTCGAGTCGTGAAAACAACCTCACTATTTGCAGGATAAGGTTACCCGTAATGGTGGAAGCTTTGTACACTAGGTACGCAGTGAAACCCTTTTTTTTTTTTAAGAATTTTAGGATGCGATCGCTGTTTTTAGCAGTCAATTGTGCTACATCAACGTCTTGGTTTACCATCATCTCAGCTTGCAAACCAATGTTAATGTGTTTTGGAAGACTGATGTTTTAGAAAGGTATAAAACCATATGCAGTTGTTTCATATGAAGATAACAGAGCAAGCTCTATAAGCATATGCTGCAAAATTCATGGACAATCCACGAAAATACTGCCTTTAATCCAATGTCGATCAATCCCTAATCCTTGATCCAAACATATCATAATGATTCCAGTCATGGAAATAATCTGTCGCCATGCTTGGTAAAAGTTTATAAATGATGCAGGTAGTGTGAACAAAGAAACGAGATTAAAGAACAGAAATTATAACTTATTGATTATCGCAATAATACCATATTAAAGCTTTCAAAACCCTTGTTGATTCATAAAAAATACCAAACCAATTGAAAAGAAAAGAGAATTCGTCTCTACGTTAATTAAGTCATGAATTTAAATTTTGTAATTGCTTAAAATGAATGATAAGGATGAAATTATGTTTCGAACTTGCACTGATAAATTACTTTTAGGCCTAAGAAGAAGAAGACAACAAAAAGATATTGTTACAAAATTTAAAATTTAAACTAACTGATTTATCCTCAAAATAAATGGAAGAATCAAATCTTCCATTAAATTATGAGATTTTTAATACATAAATATAATTTGAAAAAAAAAGAGTTTCTAAAAATAATTGCATGATTTAAGGGAGGACACAAATGCCAAAGAAAAATTTGAAAATTTTAAATTATGTACTTGGACACAATTAAGAACTAAAATTAAGAACTTCTTTTATATTTTTTTCGGTGTACTCTTTTACAATTAAACTCAATTTAGTGTACCACCTTTCAATTTACCCTAATCCAATTGATTTACGATGGTTTTTGTAATAGTTTGAAGCTAGACCATTCTCTTTTGATCAATCAAGTGAAAATATGAATATCTTGTTGCTAGATTAAGCAAATGAGTGATCTAGGCATTAAAAAGATGATTCTAATCTTATTGTTCAAGCGATTTAAATTGAGGAAGAACTTTGATTTGGTATCAAGATGAAAATTTCATTTCATTGAAAGTGATCAAAACATTATGTTTTTGATGGAAATCAAGATCAGTCAATAATCGAATATTGAAATTCTTGAGTTTCTGAGGGATTTTGGTATATTTTGACAAATTTTTCGGAAAACAATTATCCAAATTTATTCTGTCCCCATTCCTTTTCTAAAATATTTTTGAACACTGTTTCCGTTTCTTAAGTGCCCCAGTATTCAGATATTCCACAGGATGATCAATCCACCTTTTAAATCCAGCTTTTCTTAGATTACTGTGTTCAATGGATGATTCAGTACTTGCTGCTGACAAGGTTCAGTGATTTGATGATTTTGAGAATGTAAAGGGGACAAGAGAAAAACCCAAACATTATTATGTATCACTTTTATACATGTAACCATCAGTGGTACAGTTTCTGGAATTTAGCATAAAGAGGGAAAGAAAGCCACAGCTTTCTATGTTCAACACTATAATGAAACTAGCAGTGCCAAACACTGCTATTTTATTCATTTAAGTAGAGTTTCGATCGTTGGGTTGTCTTTTATTTGTAGTACGTCTTGAGTACTATGAGAATCAAGCATCAGACCGGTATATGTCTATCTCTCCCCAATCATTTTTTGGCACTCCCAAAGCCTTCCACACAGTCTTAGAGGCATGACGATGTTGTTGGGGGCATGGAGGTTGATAATCATGATCTGCATCACACCCTGTTGTGGAGTCACATTCATCAACCACCATTGCCCCTACACTCCGGCCATGGCATAGATGGTAATGTTGTTCAGGCACCTATTCTTCTTATTAAACCAACCAGTGGACAAGGCCACCACCGGGGTGTCATCCGAGTGGTAGTTATTGTCACACTCCGACTCTGCACCACCATCACCGCCTTTCTCAAAACTGTTGATTGTCAAGACCGCCTTGGTCCTGCCAGACACACGCAGTAAGCACTTGTAGATGCCGTAATACTTGCCTTCTACGCAACACTCAGAGTCGTTCTCAGTGTTACAAGCCCTCCGGCAGCACTGTACTGTCATGTATTCTCTAGAATTTTACTGTTGGCATATAATAATGTTTTGGTGATACAAAATGAGCCTATGAGGTGCAGGCTGCACAAGAGTTATTACACTGTCCTAGGAAATGTGCATATATTCACTATATTCTACCAAAGCTTTTGTATCTAATGATGATGTTTTTTGAAGTAATGTATGTCCTTCGTGACCTTATGGCGGCAGCATGGTAATCCAAATGGATCTAGCTTCACCATGGTGGAGTGAAGAATGATAAATATGACAAGAATCATAATGTTGTTTTTAAAAAAAAATTAGAGATAATCAATTTAGGCATTGGTGAATGAAAATGCCCATGTTATTGAATGCTTAATTAAAGAAAATAGAAGTTACACTAGGACCTTGAGCAATGCTAATTACTCGTTTGCCAAAGCGATGCATCGCGAGTTTGTAGATGTTATAAGTTTCGTGCTTAATGGCTAAAATAATAAGTTTTTGAATTTCAATTCATTCCTTGCACATTAAGATCAATCAAAACACTGACGATCACTGTTCAACAAGACCTTGCTAATGGTGCAATGGAAGCCCTTGATTCGAGTTGTTTAAGATGCAAGGAACCGGAGATGACGTATTGAATCTCTTCAATGTTGTAAGCCAAAAGGGAATAGTATATTGAAGTGAAGAAAGAAAATACTATTTCAAAACTGGTAACCATAATAATTTGTAAATATAGTTGGAAACACACAAATTGAAGACCAAATGTAACATGACATTTGCAATACTAGTATGCAAGAAACAAAATAAGTGCATTAAGACTTTTAGAGTCATCGGCAACTAGAAACTTGATTGGAATGTTAGAAATCAAACATCAAACCAAAATATATCCAACTGGCCCTGCTCGGATTCTGGCACTTGTAAAGCCTTCCAAACTGCCTTGGAGGCATCAACAATGTCGTTGGGGCATGGTGGTTGCAAATGTCATGTTACATTTGGTCTTCAATTTGTGTGTTTCCAACTATATTTACAAATTATTATGGTTACCAGTTTTGGAATAGTATCTTTCTTCACTTAAATATACCATTCCCTTTTGGCTTACAACATTGAATGTTGGCAAGTCAGTGACTTATTTGGATTTCAATTCTTTCTACATAGATTATACAATTTGGAAATGGTGTATGTTGGTAAGTTAGTGACTTATTTGGAACTCAAAGATTTGATGGGAAGGTGGAAATGGTCTTACATAACTGTATGAGTTACTTACGTGTACCTTTGTCTGAGATTTGTGGTTGTTTCACAGGGGTGCAACTTGGGTTGGGCAATCCGATTTTAATCTGAGTCTAACTCGAAAAAATTAGGACTTGAGCAAGGGTTTTTAATACTTGTGTTGGGCTTGGGTCAAAAAATCTCAACTCAAATTCAATTTGGGTTGGGCTCAGGTTAAGGCCTCGTGAACCCGAGTTCAACCCGAACTCGATAAATTAAAAAAAAAAGTTATATATATATAAAACATTAGCACTGATTTTTCATTTTTGTTCTATCGTTCTCTGTCTCTCTCGTTCTCTTTGTCTCTTTCGTTCTCTGAGCGTCTCTTGTTCTCGCAACCTCTCTCGTTAAAAACTTGGTTGAAGTTATTGGTTGTTAATTTAGGTGAATATTATGTAATATATGTATTAGGTTTAAAACAACAAGCCTATTTTGGGCTCTACCCGAATTGAACCCGTAAAGTAACCCGAAATCATCAATTCGAATTCAACCCGAGCCTGCCCAAATTAAACTCGGACAGTGTTCGGGTTGAGTTCCCTAACCCGAGGTAGGATTAGGGTTAGGATTAGAGTTAGGGTTGAAGATTATATACCTAGAGTTGTTGTTCAACTCACCCGAGTTGCACCCCTATTGTTTCAGAACAAAAAAATATCATATTAGTCCATAAGATATATATTTTTTGTTTAAACGTAATATTTTTTGGACTCAATTTACTGACATAATCTATCACAACCGTTAGATTGATATTGAGATTCACTGTCAATTCAATAGTAATCAAGTAAGTTAACAAAATAAGTCAATAAATTATGTCCAACTACCATTGCTCTTTTTTGTTTGCTGTTGATTTGTAATTGTGGGTGTTCAAGAGGGATGTTTTAATTGACTTGATCAATTGCTGTCATTAATTTAATTGTAGATCTCAATATTCATTAGAACTTACTATTTATTCAATGGTTGTGATTCATCAAATAAAAAAATCATGTCAACTTTTTCAGTATAAATAACATTTCGCATGCTTTAAGCAATAGGATTGCGAATTTTCTCATAGGTTGAACTACTCTTTGACCCCCTTAACTATGTTCCAATCTCACTTTGCCCCTTCTATATTAACTTTCTTGTGTTGCCTTAAAATCAAGTGTCCGACACATGTCCTAAAATGGAGTAAATACAAACTTTAAATTTCTACAATTCGGGCTACATGAAATTAAGAATCATAGTTAGAATTGCAATGTGAAAAAAAAAAAAAAAAAATTGAGGGGGACTGTGTGAAGCAACAATCATAGTTACAATAATATGTAAGATGGGCATTATCGACGGGATCATTGTAAAATTTGCTCCTTTTATTAGAATGAAAATTTGTTGAGGTTGCCAGGGGGACACCACTAAATTAATAACATACTATTACTTATATAATCACTATAGGGCCGGCTATAAATTGATTTTAAACCATGTCTCTATGTGTTTTAGTCACAAGTTGCCGGATCATTACTCTTAAGTTGGAGGCTCTCGAATGACCCATTATGAGCAAAGAAAATTAAGTGTGTGTCCTTTGGGAGTAAACAGAATACCCAAATAAAACAGTACAACCTAATAATCCAATGCGAAAATTGAAAGGGAGTACACCAAATTAGGCTTAATCGTAAAAACGTACACAAAAAAAAAATATTGAGTAATTAAGTCTTCAACTTTGATACTTATTTGTATCTAAGTAGTACATTATTTGAATTTTACTGATTTTTTTGTGATATTTTTGTTCTCCATTGACCCATACTTATTTTCTTTGAAAAGTGGTGCATTAAACATCTCCTAATTTTATGAGAGAATTTTAATATTCTATATTTGTATGTCCTCCCTTGATTCATGCGTATTTTTTTTGGAAAGTGGTTTTATTTTCAAATTATATTAATATCTGAACAATATAACAGTGTAACAAGTTATTTACACAAAATATTATACTATTACATTATGTCAAACATATATTTTTATATAATTTCATTCAAAATAGTCTATCTCCGTTTTGAATTTGTTACCACATGCACAAAACTATTAAACACTGTCTTTGTTACAGTGTAATTGATACATTGTTTTTGTCATACTATTACGGAGTTCAGATATTAACAAATTTTGAAATTCAAACAAATGATATATTCTAAAATAAACGATATTTTAAAATTCTCCTATAAAATTAGTAGTAGTAAATATTTAATGTATAAATACAATTTAAAAATAAAATTAATTTCCAAAAAAAATACACATGAATCAAGGTGCATTAAAGATAAGAGATTTTGAATTAAATGACCATAAATTTCAGCACTTAATAATGTCTTGTTAAAGTTTTTAGGGAAATTTTTTTTTACAAAATCGGCATTTACGTCTTTGTATTTCAGTTGTGTATTTTTTTTTTTAAATATTTTGTTCTATGTACTTTTTTACAATTATATCTAATTTTTTGTACCGACTTTGAAAGTATCCTTGTGAAAATAGTTTGGGCCAAACACAGTCAATTCCTTAAAGACCTGTATTGTATTTTGGGACCTCTGTTTTTTTGGTGGTCTAGGCAAATATTTAAGTTGTTTACCTATTGGACCCGACCCTGCTCTTATGCATCCTACACTTCATAGGCTCATTTTGTATCGCCAAAACATTATTATAAGTAGAGAGTAAATTTTCAAAGAACATAAGAATACAATACTACCCGAATTCCCAATACACTGATCAAAAGACAAGAATCTTGAGTGAAACAACATACATTTCCACCCTCCCTAATATTCACATTTTACAATATCATTGGAGTTCTTGATCGGTATAAATCTCTTGAACAACTAGATTGGAATTATCTTCATAATGCCTGGTTTGCTTGTTTGCTTAGTGTAGCAATAAGATACTAGTCCTTTCACTTTTATTGATCGAAGGAGAATTACCTAATTTTCAAACTGTAATAAAAAATATTGTAAACCAATGAGTTTATCCGGTTACACTGTTTTATTGAGGTGTTTATTTATTCTTAGCCATTGATCCTGCTAAATTTGAAGTTTGAATTCACCTAAATTCCCAAAGGATATCCACTTAATTCTCTTTGCTCATAATGGGTCACCCGAGAGCCTCCAACAAGATCAATGATCCAGCAACTTGTGACTAAACACATAGGGACGTAGTTTAAAATCAACTTATAGCCGGATCTATAGTAATTATATAAGTAATAGTATGTTATTAATATAGTGATGTATCTATTACCACCTCAACTAATTTTCATTCCAATAAAAAGAGCAAATTTTACAATGACCCACCCATCGATTATGCCCGTCTTCAATATTATTGTAATTGTGATTGTAATAGTGTAAGATTTTTTTGTTCCGAAACAACCAAAAACTGAGACGGTTGTACACTTAAAAAACTCATATAGTTATGTAAGACCATTTCAACCTTCCCATCAAATCTTTGAGTTCCAAATAAGTCACTGACTTAGCAACATACACCATCTCATAATTGTATAATCTATGTAGAAAGAATTGAAATCCAATAAGTCGCTGACAACCAACATACATTAACTACAAATGGTATAATCTATGAAGAAAGAATTGAAATTTGTAGTAACTTCCAAGTTGATATAGACAAGTGCATGTGTCTATATAAAGCCTCAATTTATTTAGTCTATTCACATTCAAAAACCATTTAAACACAAGGAAAATGAAGGGAGGGATTTCCTCAAGTGTGTGCATTCTGGTTTTCTTTTTACTTGTTACAATCTTTTCGAGTGTCGAAGCTCAGTCATGCAAATCTCATGGCAAAATTGTTGGCAAAAAACCTCCTCCAGGGCAATGCAATACTGAGAATAATTCTGAGTGTTGCATACAAGGTGAGCTTTACGCCACTTTCACATGTTCACCACAGGTTTCACAACGTACCAAGGCAGTCTTGACACTCAATAGCTTCGGGGAGGGTGGAGATGGTGGAGGGAAATCTGCATGTGATGACAAGTTCCATTCAGATGACACACCAGTGGTGGCACTATCGACTGGATGGTTCAACAACCAAAAGAGGTGTTTGAACAAAATAATCATCCATGGAAACGGAAGGAGTGTCCAGGCCACGGTTGTTGATGAGTGCGACTCCCAGAGGGGCTGTGACGCTGAACATGATTTCCAACCACCATGCCCCAACAACATTGTTGATGCCTCCAAGGCAGTTTGGAAGGCTTTACGAGTGCCAGAATCCGAGCAGGGCCAGTTGGATATATTTTGGTCTGATGCTTGATTTCTAACATTCCAACCAAGTTTTTGGTTACCGATGACTCTAAAAGTCTTAATGCACTTGTTTTGTTTCTTGCACACTGGTATTGCAAATCTCATGTTACATTTGGTCTTCAATTTGTGTGTTTCCAATTATATTGACAAATTATTATGGTTACCAGTTTTGGAATAGTATCTTTCTTCACTTAAATATACCATTCCCTTTTGGCTTACAACATTGAAGAGATGCAATAAGTCATTCTCCGATTCCTTGCGGCTTAAACAACTTGAATCGAGGCTCCCATTGCACCTTTAGCAAGGTCTTGTTGAATAGTGATCGTAAGTATTTCAATTGATATTAATGTGCAAGGAATGAATTGAAATTCAGAAACTAATTATTTTACCCATTAGGCACAAAACTCGTAGTATCAACAAACTCGCAATGCATCGCTTTGGCAAACGAGTAATTAGCATTGCTCAAGATCCTAGTGTAGCTTCTGTTTTCTTTAAAACAACATTATGATGCTTGTCATATTTATCATTCTTCACTCCAGTATGGTGAAGCTAGATCAATTTGGATTACCATGCTGCCGCCATAAGGTCACGAAGGACATACATTACTTCAAAAAACATCATCATTAGATACAAAAGCTTTGGTAGAATATAGTGAATATATGCACATTTCCTAGTACAGTGTAATAACTCTTGTGCAGCCTACACCTCATAGGCTCATTTTGTATCACCAAAACATTATTATATGCCGACAGTAAAATTCCAGAGAGTACATGACAGTACAGTACTGTCGGAGTTCTCTCTATATATACACACATATGCATATTTCAACGATAAATGATGTTCAAGTCAATTTACGTGCACTTTCATTAATTTCTTTCCTGGACCATCAACGCTAAGATTAGGATATTCATGAAGAATAAATCTCTTATGGTCTGACACCAAGAAATTGCCAATATTCAAATTCAGGGTATTTGAATTTATAATTCATTTTTGTTATTACTTGAACTATCCTTAGGGTTAGTATAAATTTCTTTGGTATCGAAAATTAACTTTTTAAAATTTTGATATTATATTAAAAGTTATGACTCACTCAAGCCAAAGTTTTCTCTATATGTATAATCTGGAACTAAACTGGTTTCCTCTCACCAGAGCCATCTGAATCAAAAGAGAAGAGCCTGGAATGAAGATGCAGGCTTGTTCAACTAGTTTCTATCTTCTCCTTTTCTTTCTTCTTCTTGTTACCATTATTTCAAGCTCTGAAGTTCAGTCCTGCAAGCCTAGTGGCAAGATAAAGGGCAAAAAACTCCCCCATGGGCATGCAACACTGAGAACGACTCTGAGTGTTGCGTAGAAGGCAAGTATTACGACATCTACAAGTGCTTACTGCGTGTGTCTGGCAGGACCAATGCAGTCTTGACAATCAACAGTTTTGAGAAAGGCGGTGATGGTGGTGCAGAGTCGGAGTGTGACAATAAGTACCACTCGGATGACACCCCGGTGGTGGTCTTGTCCACTGGTTGATTTAATAAGAAGAATAGGTGATTTAATAAGAAGAATAGGTGCCTGAACAACATTACCATCTATGCCGTGGCCGGAGTGTAGAGGCAATGGTGGTTGATGAATGTGACTCCACAATAGGCTGTGATGCAGCCCATGATTATCAACCTCCATGCCCCAACAACATCGTCATGCCTCTAAACCTGTGTGGAAGGCTTTGGGAGTGCCAAAAAATGATTGGGAGAGATAGACATATACTGGTCTGATGCTTGATTCTCATAGTACTCAAGACGTACTACAAATAAAAGACAACCCAACGATCGAAACTCTACTTAATGAATAAAATAGCAATGTTTGGCACTGCTAGTTTCATTATAGTGTTGAACATAGAAAGCTGTGGCTTTCTCTCCCTCTTTATGCTAAATTCCAGAAACTGTACCACTGATGGTTACATGTGTAAAAGTGATACATAATAATGTTTGGGTTTTTCTCTTCTCCCCTTTACATTCTCAAAATCATCAAATCACTGAACCTTGTCAGCAGCAAGTACTGAATCATCAATTGAACACGGTAATCTAAGAAAAGCTGGATCTAAAAGGTGGATTGATCATCCCGTAGAATATCTGAAAACTGGGACAGTTAAGAAACGGAAACAGTGTTCAAAAATATTTTAGAAAAGGAATGGGGACACAGTATTTGGAAACTTGTTTTCCAAAAAATTGGTCAAAAAATACCAAACCCCCCCCCCCCCCCCCCCCCCCCCCGAAACTAAGGAATTTCAATATTTGATTATTGATTGATCTTGACTTCCATCAAAAACATAATGTTTCGATCATTTCCAACGAAATGAAATTTTCATCCCGACACCAAATCACAGTTCTTGAGGCAGGTTATAGAAAAACAAGTTCTTGCATGCACATAAAAAGCAGCAGTTCTAATCCTGAAGACCCAATCCTAACAGAAATCAACAATGGCGGCATCTGGATTTCATATACTTGGGGAGGTCTAACACAAAATCTATATACAGAGAACATACAGCTTCCAGCAAGTAATGTCTTTATACATTTTTCCCAAGACAATGGCACAATAAACATACACCAAAAACATAAAGATGCTGGCCAACAAAACCACATTTCAACAGTCACAGACAGAACTTTGAGAGAAAAGCTGAATAGCTTACAACATACTATCAGCCCTGGCAGGTAGCCGGCGGAAGAAATTGAGCGGTGCTGAAGGCAACTTGTGTCGAAACCTGGGATGCCTCATTACATAAAATCCAGCCAAGACAAGCAGTACCTGAAAAGGCGTCGCATAAAACACAATGGCAGCCAAAAGGCAGAATGTCACAAATAGAGCTGTGGCACGTGGATCTCGCCAACTGAGCAGTGCCTGAATCCGCTCACCTTGGCTAGCCACGTCACCCACGACCATCTGAATCTTTCCGGCCACACTCCTTAGGCGATCATATCTCATTCGAACAAGCTCTGAACTCCGTGTTGTAGGAAATGTATCAAATTCCTCATCAAGCTCATCAGGGTGTGTCACTTCAGCATACGACAATCTTGTATTCATGTGAGGAGGGTACCTAGGACGGTACCGGTAATTCCAAAGCCCTATCAGAAACATATATAGAAACACAGTTGGAAAGATCAGTTCTGGAAAACAGACTAGCATCACAAAGAGTACATGTACTAGAGTAGTTGTGATTGGATTCTTCCACATGCACACTTCCCCAAACCATTTTCCAGCAGCAAATACTCCATTGAAGACCGACATTAACCGGAAAAAGTTTGCCTTGCTACGCCTCATGCTCCAGAGATGTGAATCGGCATCTGTCATATATTCGACTACCTCCTTCCTTAGAGGGGGTTCTGATCGGCCAAGCTTGGCTGCCACTATGTTGACAGCTTGGTGGCGCAGTATGTCCAGCTGCATTACAGTCAATGGTCTCACATAGTGCATTCTAGGCAAAAGGGGTTGTGAGTATTTGAACATCATGTTCACCATCGATGAGCATGAGAATCGTATTGCCAGATGCAATTCCCCCATCTTCTTCACACCAGAGGGGTGAAGAACCAGCAATGGGTAAGAGTGAGTATACACACGCCCGGTTTCAAGAGTAGAGATTCGAATACGAACCTTCCCAATTTTCATGTCTCTGTTCCCATGTGAACCCTCGCCACTAAGATGGATGTTATCAAAAACGCCTATGGTGAGAACTGTGGATGGATCAAAAACCTCCCAAGTATACTGCTCATTGAACTTTGGGTTTAAACTGTCCATGACAGTTCGGGTCCGAATCCATTTGTGACCATACTTTGCTACACAATATGTGTCTGATGCACCCCTTCCCTCTCTTGTTTTCATTGGGTGAAGGGCATTGGCGTTCAAAATGCCAAGTTCCAAGATACCTATTGATGGTTTCCAGAGCTGTCTTGCAGTGGGTCGAAGATCACTGCTGTAGTGAGTTGACTCATCAAGCACATGATACCCTCCTTCAAGACAGACACGGAGATGAATTCTACTAGCAAACTTATCATGCTTCTTCTCCTCCCCATAATCAGCACTTGGTTTTAGGAGGCTGAACCATTGTGGTTGTACAGATCGATCATGGTCATCCAAACGCTTCTGAACAGAGTTCAGTGGTATAATGACCCTTCCAAGGGTTTCTTCTTTGTTGGAACCAGTATGATCTTCAACTAAAAGGATTAGATGCTCTTCGAAGGGTTCAGCAGCAATAAACATTAGATCCTCATTCCATAGTGCGTTCATAGTCCGAGTTTGAACTGGCTTTGTCTTCAAAACCTGGTTACCAATATGTGCCTTAACATGTACATTGGGAAAACGGGCCTTCTCAAAAACAACCAAGTCTTGTGCCTCAATCACACCAACACGAACATACCATAATCGTGGGGTATGGTATACTTTTGAGCGCATATGAGTGGAGGACACTGAACTATCAATAGTACTTAATGCATCCGAATGCCAAGCATCAGGAAAAGCCTCATCAGCCTGTGTGCCAAACCAAACAGCAAGCATCAACTCCCCTTTCCTTTTCTCCCCATTCTTGTCTTCAAGACGGTACCATTCTGGAGCCAATGGACTATCTGGAGGAAGTCGTGTGGGTACCTCATGGAGATCAAACCTAACAGTCCCAACATAGTCATCTTTCACCAGATCCTTATCCTTAAGCACAACTACCAAGACGTCTGTCTGAATTCTCTCTTTAGCAAAGGCAAACACAATGTTCCACTCTGGGCTTTTAGTTTTCTCAAAATGCGTTGTGACTCCTTTATAGTTCCCAACCCTTACTTCAACATAAGGATCAAGGCTCCCTGAAACATCCTTGGAAGGAAGGTCGTGAGCTTTCACAACACGAACAAAAAGAAATTGCATTGGCTCAACAAGGTCATAAGTGCTGGATGGCTTGTCCGCCCGTATAACTCGTCCCCCGACAATCTGTCCCCCTCCAAGGAAAGGGCTTGTCTCTTTAAGAGCATATTCAGCAGGTTGTGATGATGAACCCGAGTACATGCGAGCAATACTTGGAGCCTGAGGTTGCGACCTCATTTCATCAATCCCATATTGTACTGGTTGCTGGGTGGCCCCTGCAGAAGATGGGAGCTGTTGATTTGGGTGTTTCGAGTTTGGAAGATGGTGAAATGTGTGTCTTGAATTTTTTTTGTCATTAGTGAATGGGTTTGGAATTTGTCGGGAAGATGCTTGAGTTTGGCTTGAGTGTGAATCTGTTTGCCTAGGATACTCCATTGCAGGAGGTGGGTTTGAGGACTTGATTAAAGGATCATCAGTGATAAAGACCTTCAAGCCAAGCTCCCCTTTCACACGTGAGAAAATACCCCGTTTCTCTAGAGGGTAATGCATAATAGCAGTATCAGAGTAGGGGACAAATGATGTCCCATTGATGCAAACCTTTCCAAGGAAGGAATTAGAGTGCGTGGTTTTGTTGTTGTTGTAGACATAGGCATCAAGAGTGAGGTTAGATAGGTTTTCTGGATCAGATACATTGAAATATAAAGTCTCATTCCAAACAGGGTCAAGATCCTTTTCTTTGATGGTAGTGCAAAATTTCTGATTATCAAACTGAAGCTCAACAAAAGCACTGGACGAACCGTGCCCATCTTTGGGCATAAGGTTGTGGGCACTCACGACCTCGACCCCTAGCTTGAGATTGCTCATGAAGTTCTATTACAAAGATTTTGACAAATTTGATGGGAGGCAGAAGAAGGGAAAATCAGATACGAGCTGGCAAGAACTGGTACCCCTGAAAAGCAAAGACTACCAGTAGCTCAACAAATCCAAGAAAACACAAAAAACCAAAAAAAAAAGGTAAAACCAAGGAATAAACAAAGAATATCCATCTTCTAATACAAAAAGTTTAAAAGACAGTCTGAGACTTAGAATTACAAAATAACAGAATCACCTGACCTGCATGAATCGTAAAGTCAGCATATACACAAAACAGATGACAGTATTAAGGATAACCTAAGATTGGACTTATATATGTTCACAGTCATAAGTATGAGTTCATAAGAAAGTTAGCAATGGAGCAAAACCACAATAACTTAACCTCTTAAAGAGAAGCTTTTAATCAGTCACACTGACATCATCAAATGCATCTTTTTCAAACAAAAAAGTCCCAAAGTAGAAATTGTCAAACAAAAAAAAAATCACATGTCAACATTTTTAATCTCCACTGAACACAACTCAACTAAACTTAAACTTAACTATAGCCAAGCCTTAAAAATTATCTCAAAGAAACAATGCAAGAAAGGACATTTTGTGCTTCAGAGCATAAAATATAATGGCACAGAACCACTACAGATCTTCCAAATCAGTAATTAATTAATTTCAGAAGAATAAGAGGGTTCCCAAAAAAAAAGGATATACCTTTTAAGGTGTCCAAAAGGAGGAACATATAACCAAATTGAAGAAAAGATCCAAAAATCAGTAGAATAAAAATCAGAAAACTAGCTGTCCCCCCCCCCCTCCCCCAAAAAAACCCCAACACACACACCCTAAAGGTCACCTTCTTCGGCCAATCCACCAAAAATTACATTGCACACATACCCCAAAAAATCGAAAATTATTTGTCAAAGAGAAAAATTGATAGAATCAAAATTGGGGGCAGATTCTCCATTTACAAACACAATATTAAGCCATCCTTGGGGAAAAAAAAAAGAGATTTTCAGCTGATTCTCCAAAGATACCAATGGACAAGCAAAAGGGGGGGGGGGGGGGGGCACAACCCAACCACCACACAACATTATTTCTAAAAAATAAAGTTAATAGAATAGAATCTGAATTTCCACTTAAACCATAAAAGCATAAAGGTAAAAGAATCAACATGAAATCCAATTAAACTGGGGAGATGATCAGCAAAAGCTATAACACTTTTGACTCAGATAAAGTATCATAAATCGAAGTCATACTATAAGAAAAATTATATAAATAACTAAAAGAGAAGGACTCTATGTTCTTCAAATCGAAGAAGTTACCATGAAAAATGATCCAAAACTTATCAGACAGCTTGAAAATCGATTTATAACGAGTTATTTCATCATAAAAACAGAAAACACACACACAACAAGAAGACATAAAGAAAAAAGAAGCATAAAGAAACAAAATTACCTCTTTTTTTTCAGCTTTATCGACAACTTCTTCGATGTACCTTTACGTATTCAGTTGATTGGCTGAAAAAGAGCTCAGTTTCCTCTTGTGTTCAGCTTCTATGTGAGAGAGAGAAAGAGGGCTGTAGAGAATACACAGAGAGAGAGAGAGAGACGTTCATACAAAACAGAAGAAGAAATGAACCCTAGAAAACGAATCCTCCTGCGATGATTCAGAGGAAGAGAGATGGAGAGATGGAGAGAGAGAGAGAGAGAGTGAGAGAGACGTGGATAATAAGACAATCGTTGTGGTATATGCTATAGTTTGATGGGTAACTCTGATGGAATGAAAAGCACTGAGAATGATACTAAGAATGATTTTTAGTGGGATATTTGTTAAATTAATTTTTTTGAGATAATCAAATAAATTTTATTAATTCTATTAAGATATAATGAATTGTCATCAATAAAATATATTTAATAATATGTCTCATTATAGTATTAATGAATTCATTATCATATTATTGATAATAATTTATTATTTTTTAAAATTATGCCATAAACTATGTGCTTGCTCAATAAATTTATTAAAGTCTATAAACACTAGGAAATAGACGAAAAAACAAAGAAGAATGAATGGTCCAAAAGTCTACTCTGGCTGGCACGACTTCCTGTTGTTTTCTTTAGCAGCTTTCACACGTTGGTGGAACGAAAGTGTTAAATCCGAATTAAGGGAGAATTACATCCGCACGGGACCACACCTACTACAAGATATTTTATTTTTTTATAGAAAATATATTCGTTCCAGAACAGCTAAGATTTATCTCTGAATTATGCAGGCCCGGCCATGCTATTTAAGATAAAATTTGTACGCGTATAACACTTAAATTTTTTATGTTAATATTTATTAATAAATTTATTAGTAAATTATATTTAAATTTTTTAAAATTTGTAAGTATATAATACTTAAATTTTTCAAATTTAAAATATTATACTTAGATCATTTATTAGTTATAAAATTAATAAAATCTATTAAATGATCAAATTATCTCAATTAAAGATAACAAATATTGTATCCATTATGATTTGATCTATTGTTGGGCTTTTTAGTTTTATTCAGATAGTGTAATTGCATATTAATTTTAATTTTTTTAAGAAAAAATAGATTTTATTTTAATAAATAATATAATAGGACATAAATTTTAGTTATCCAATTTAAAATATTTGATATTTATTATTGAATTAAAGTATTTTTTATCTAAGTATAATATTTTAAATCTAAAAAATCTAAATATTATATATTTAAAAACTTTAAAGGGTATACGTATGATTTATTAAAGGATAGACCGGGTCTACTAGTGTTCAATTTTTGTACTTTACGAAGTTGCTCAAAAGTAATTATTCAAATGTATTATTGTTATATGAGATTAGTAGTTGATTTAATCACCACCGCTCAACATTGTCGTTTTTTTCTTGGACAAAAAAAAAATGCATTCACATTAAAAAAATAAAAGAAAACAAATGCTAATGTCCCATTGACAAGTGACAAGTGGCACGTGACTTCTCCAATCTCCCCAACAATGTAATGCAACAACGTAATGATGTAGATTATAAAATATCAAGTGCAAGTGGGCCATCCACGTCATAGCAAGAGCTTACCAAACAGTGGGACCCATTTTTGGTACATGTACGTAAGAGTTATTGCTTGGGTAATTCTTGATTTTAAAACTTCTCCATTACATTTCTAATTACTTACAGTGCTCCAACTATGGTTATGTGCAAAGACAAGTATTGCACACCTCCAACGTACCCTCTCTTAGTGCATCTCTAAGAGATGCCGTAAAGCACAAAAATAATTAAAATTTAACTAATTAAAATAAAAAAATTATATTCTAACAGATGCTCTTTAAAAACTCTAAAATAAATTTTTATTATAGTGATACTCTAAATATAAAGTATAACTGTAAGAATTTGTAAATATATTTTATGTTATTTTTTTTCTCTTCCTCTATTCTCTCTCTTTCTCTTTTTTATTATTCTAAAAAAAATAATATAAAAGCAATGAGAAATAATATTTAAAAAGCGTAATTAAAAATATAGAGAATCTGTTGGAGCGTATATTGAAAAAGTGAATAGTTAAAATATAAAAATTTACTGTTTTGGTAGTTAAAATATAATTTGTTGTTGAAGATGTTCTTACTGCGCAATTGACTCTATAGTCTATACATTGACAATTTTTATTTTATTTTTGAGGAATTTTGATGGTACGAGAGAGATTTTATTGATTAAAAATTAAATTACATTTAGTTAGGGGGACATATATATCTTATCCCTCGATACAATATAATTACAGTACAATAAGAAATTAAAAAATTCTAATGCAGGCTATTACATGGAAATATTAAAATATTCTAAAAAACATAATTTCCTAAAATAATTCTATCCAATCCACCTTGCTTGAAATATGCCAACTGAACCCACTGCCGAAGAAATGCAGAGCTGAACAGTCACGTAAATAGTGACATAAACAGTGCAGCTGTGACATAAAATAATAATGCTGAGAGTGGTCAGCTGCTTCATCCAAAATATTACTGTAAATAAAGATAGTCTGCCACTTTGCTTGAAATATGCCAATTTAAGTATCGCACGCACGGACCACACCTACCGCAAGATATTTTATTTTTTGATATAATATAATATAATATAATGCTAAGATCATTTATTAGTCGTAGAATTAACAAAATTTATTAAATAACCAAATTATCTCAATTAAAGATAAAAAATATTGTATCAATTATTATAGTTTGATCCGTTGTTGGGTTTTTTAGTTTTATTTAGATAGTATAATTACATACTAATTATGATTTTTTTAAGAAAAATTAGGTTTTTATTTTTTATTTTATTTTAATAAATAGCAAAATAGAACATAAATTTCAAATGTATTATTATTATTATTATATGAAATTAGTAGTTGATTTAATCATCATCGTCCTCGTTAGACTTTAAAATTACGAATTTGAACTTTGTCGTTATTTTCTTGGACAAAAAAAATACAATCAGATTAAAAAAAGAAAAGAAAACAAATGCTAATGTCCCATTTTTTTTATTTTTTTTTAAAAGAAGAGTAATCAATTAATCATTATGTAAGAAAATGCTCATTACAATTAATAGATAAAAAAACTTTTAGCTCGGGAGATTACGCACCCAACTCAAAGAAATCGAGTTAAAAAGCGTCATAACAGCCATCCAGTGAGCTGCTCTGTTAAGAACTTTAAGTTTGTGGACAAATCTTAAATTAAGATCTTTAACAAAGCGCTTAATGTCACTAACAAAAACGTTGATTTTTCATGGGAAAATATCTTCATTTGAGCGCAGCTCAGTCACCTCCTGATTGTCGCTTGCGATAGAGACATGACGTAACCCAGCCAACAAACACGCTTCATGAACGACAAACAAGTGACAAGTGGCAAGTGATAGGTAATGAATTCTCCAATCTCCACAGCAATGTAATGATGTAAATTATAAAAATATCTAAGTGCAAGTGAACTATCCGCGTCATAGCCAAACAGTGGGACCCATTTTTGGTACATGCACTTATTTTTTTCAGTTTAATTGTGTGGGAGGTTCGCCTCTTTTTAGTTTTTAATTATATTATTTTAATTCTTGAAATATTAAATAAATTTTTATGTGATTCTTTAAATAAATAATGTTTAAATTGTTAATAATTTTTTATTATAAATTTATCACGTAATACCTAAATATAGATAAAAAAATAATTTATATAACTATTGACTAATTTTTATCTAAATATTAGTCAAAAAATTATCTAAATTACACAGTTTTGATCATAAATTATCAAATTTTAACCAAGAGTTATCCTCATATTAAATATGAAATAAATTTTAAAATTTCTAAAATTATAATTACTCTCAAAAAAGTTTCAAAATTTCAGTAGAGGCAACTTGCACCTAGTGCAGATTCGCCAGTGTTCTCAGTATAAAGTGGGAGTCCTCTCTTCTTGCTTTTTTGTCTTGGCATGTTGCACAATAGATCGCAAACAAACTATCTTAACCTCTCATTAATTGCTGTTAAGATTTGAGCATTAACACAATGAAAAACAAGAATGACAATCTTTCGATGAAGAGAGAAGTATATATATACGTAAAATATTGTGTAACATTGTATAATATTAACACGTTCCAAATTTACTTACCCAGAAAAACAAAACATGTTTCGAGTTTTCAAACATATACTTAAAATATGAAGTTTCCTATTGTGAGAAATGAGAATTAATGCAATAGTAAAGGTTCATTTATTTAGCGGGAGAATGATAGAAAATGTAAGAAAGAAATTTTTTTTAAAATTTTAATGTGTTTGCCTAGCATGAAAAGGAAAATGATATAAAAAATTGATGGGACTTTTCTGAAATGTTCCATGATGAAGACACGTGTCCTCGGTATTACCAAAACACTGTTGCTAAGATCAAGCACCATCGGCGCACAAGGTCCTCGCCCCCCGAGGTACCCTTCATATAGGATCATGCATTCAGTATGTTTTACAACCGACACGTGGCCTCGGTCTGATATGGTACCTCGGTCGGCATACCTCCCTCGGTTCCGAGATAAGCCTTTCCTCGGTACCGAGAGGTACCCCCGTCCTGGACGCTTCCTCTACTCCAGGATAAGCTATTGACGTACAGGTCATTAGCCTAGGCTAGTCTAGGCTATTCATCATGATCTCGTCTTACACAATTAGTGTCAGAACGTACTGGAATGCAGGGGTCACAGCCAATAGGGGATGGACGCGTGGCGTATGATATCACATCGAAGACAGAGAAACCACATGTCGTTGCTGACAGGCGACTTGGGAAAGCAAACTATTAATTACACCATTCCCTTGATGAGACCGCATTCAATGCGGTAAGGCTCAAAAATGAAAGGCAATAAATGCTCATAATACAGAGCATTTATTGCATCCTCCCCAAGAGGAGTACATTGTACCGTCGGCATCCCGATGACACAACATTGATTGCTCGGGACCCCGAGCAGTTAAGAAGAGAAGACATTCCTCATCAGAATCAGTGCGCACACTGCCTGTACCTAATGATCATCTACTGACTACACTGACAGCAATCATGAGCTTTTGAGGTATAAATATTCCTTGCAAAAGGCAAGACGGGTATGTAAAAAAAAACTTTTTACTACAATACTCACTCAGTGTTTTCTCCTTCCTCTCTCTTTCTAAAAGGCTGACTAGATCGTCGGAGAGGATACGCCGGAAAACACTCTGGCGCCCTTCTAACTCGTTCTTCTTTG